GCTGCCCAGGTAAGGCGCTCCTTGTACAACACCCAGTTGGTGCCGCTGACGTCGAGTTTAGGAACTCGGACGACATCGTCAGTAAGCTTGATGGACGCCATTTCGGGGAGGAGGGGTTGCCTAAAGGGGTAAGTTTCTAGTGCCTGAAGTCTGCCTTAGAAGGCAGGGCTCATAACCTATAGAACAGTAACTCAGTACGCGTTGTACGCGGGACTATATGTATATTAATAGTACCTATAGAACAGTAACTACAGAGTACTAATCAGTATAAGTATACGAAGTAATCAACAAACATATACTCACCTCAGTACGCGTTGTACGCGGGACTGAGGTGAGCTAGTACAAGTCGAAAGTACTAAATACTAAACTTAACAAGACGTTCTTACTACAAGATAGGTGAGACGTCGTACTCGAGAACAAAACGAGGTGAAACCACCCAAGCGGAACAAGGCGGGACAAGGCGCGTCAATGGCGCGACAAGACTTGTCCGCCCGAAACACGGCCGAGGCTCGCACCACGCTTGCCTCGCCATACACACTCCAACAATGACACCAATGTCGTCGGTACATTCCTGAGTTCCGCGGTCTAGGTATGCCTTGGGACGCTTATAGCCTAAATGTTTAATTGTGAAATGGTTGGGGCAGATTCCGAGTTGTGGATACTCGACACTCGACGTCAGACCTACTAGTCAGTCGCCCCTGAAAGACAGCACGCTTAGGTAAACACGCCTTCAGGCCTTCCAGTTTTGAAACTCAAACTCAACTTGCCACGGTTCACTCGAGTCCGGAGCGGCAGCGCTGATTTGATGATGAGAGTAGGCATGTTCCTGGACTGTTGTGTCGGTCCATGAGTTCAAGATTGAAGAAGCCTACCCGGGCTTCGAGTAAGCAACTAGTGATGCCGCAAGGTCACCACTCACCGTGAAGCCTGCGGTTTGCTGAAAGCTTGTACCCACAGCCGGCTAACAGGCTGCAGCTGGCGTTCTGCCGACGCGACTCCGGGCAACAGGCTATAGTTCAAGCAGGTTATTTCATTCGGTCTTGTTGGGCCACGTAGCGTGTCGCCGCGTTTGAACGCCATCCGCTGTCTGTCTTGAGGGGGGGGATTTACCCGAGCACTCCAGGCTCAACGCTGGAGTTAGGTCTCGCGAGTTGGAGGGTAGGCATGTTCCTGGTCTCGTGACCAGACGTTCGCATCCGATTCAAGCTCCGAACGTCTGGTCACGAGACTAACGCTTCGTTAGTAAATAGGGCCGGTGCCAGTCGCGGTGAATTGACTTTGTATACAGTAGGTGGGATTAGAAGACTTGTAGCTGCGTCATCCGTGAACGTTCCCTATTGCGTAAATGCAAGATGAGTAAGCTCTCTCGGAGAGGATCTTAGGATCATCCATCAGATCGTCCAGTGTTCTTTCCTCCTCGTTCCACCCAAGCACAACTGCCAGTAACTCCACAGCGCCAGGAGGCCTACGACTGATACGATGGGTGTACCAGACGAGCAGATCCATCCAGTCGCGACGGGTCGCGCTGCGCAAACCGTCAAGCAGCATCAGGAGTCGCAGGATCTGGTGTTTTACTCAGGATGGGTGGGTTCACGTCTACTCCTGTCGAATAAACACGTCTTGACACAGTGTGAACAGTTTTGTCCCTATGTTCAACGGGCATGGATAGTCCTGGAGGAGAGGGGCATCTCGTATCAATACAAGGAGGTGAACCCATACAAGAAGGAGCCGCATTTCCTGTGTAGGTGCTCGGAGAAGCGGAGCTCCGCCTCCTGTTCTAGTAGCCTCTGCGCGCCCAGGGCTTATCTTTCCTATCTTAAATCCCACAGCGATCAACCCGAAGGGCCTCGTTCCCGCAATCGAATACAAGGGCCGTGCGCTCTATGAATCTCTCATCATCTGCGAGTTCTTGGAGGACGCCTTTCCCCACTATGAGCCACACATCCTCCCATCCGATCCATTCGATCGCGCCATTGTCCGCCTTTGGACCGACCATGTCAACAAGCAGATCGTCCCTGCGAACATGCGCCTAACGCAGGCGCAAGACCCGCAGAAGCAGCGTGAGCATCTCGAGGAATTGAACAAGGCGCTGCGGACCCTTGTCGAGAAGGTCAAGGGGCCGTACTTCCTCGGGGAGCAGTTCACGTTGGTCGACGTTGCGCTGGCCCCCTGGGTCGTTAGGGACTGGGTTATTGCGGAGCACCGCGGATACAGCCGCGAGGCTGTCGGCGGGGGATGGAAGGAGTACGCGGCGCAGCTGGAGTCACGCGAGAGCGTGCTGAAGACGTCGAGTGTAAGTTCAAGTCGATAGCTAAGTCAGCTGATCATTGATAGCCATCATAGGACAAGGTGCATTTCACTGAGATCTACGCTCGATACCTTCGCGACGAGGCGCAGAGTGAGGGAGCGAAGGCGATCAGAGCCGGGCGTTCGTGGTGAGCGTTAGGTGTAGGATAGCCTATAGTCAGAACAAGCATTCTCGCCGCACGGGATGTTTGATCCCGTGATCTTGCGTCGATAGCGGAGCCAATCCCAACATTACTATGACTTGCGGGTCTCATTTTGTCACTTAAGGTTGTCAGTGCAATACGAGATACTGTAGATGCCACAAGAGACGGACCCAAGGTTTGCAGTGTTGTCGTCCTGACCCTTCTTGGAGGAGCCTCCTCGTGAAAAATGTGCCCTAAACCATGCCTGTCTGACCCATACGAGTCATACTGTAAGTATCTGGTACGAAGATACCGTCTGTCCTCGGAGTGTTTGGAACTTGATAAGGCTCGGGAGCGCCCGGAACAGCGACTCGCACGCAATCATAGGCGCGATGGCAACGATATAGGCTGTTGTTTTGCACATCGACCACCGCCTTCCTTCATTCTGTGATTTCGAGAGCCGGAATGTATCTTCGCAATGTGTTGAGTGCTTTTTTTTTTCGCAATGTTTAGGGACTTCTGTGACGTTTTCAGCATTGTCAGAAACTCGCAGTCGAAGGAGCCGCTGGTGGACACCTCTGGCAAGTTGCACTGACGACGGCCTAGGAGTTCGTCAATTTTTGCGAGTGGATCTTCTGTTGCATGTCAAGCGTGCAATCATGTACCTAGATACAGCATTCTCAGGGCATCACTCACAGCAGCCTGGCAGGGCTCAACATTCCTATTGGACGCTCCGGCCCCGCTGACTGGTACGCTCATTCGCCAAATATCCAACCAAGGTGATTTGATACACCTCCAACACGAGATGATGGGTAATGGGTGTAGAGGCATAGCGTGCGCGGTCACGGCACCATGTCTCGTCGTATCCGTTTTACTGATTGGAAGACCACTTCCGTCATAGCGAAATTTGAGACGTGCGTCTCAGCTCTACGAGAAGCAGCAGTCATACCGTACGTCCACTTACGAAGACTATATCGATAACCCTCCCAATCGAACGAGTCAACTCGGCTGCTACTGCCGGCATTCAACCTTTTTCAAGAGGCAAGGATATGGTGTCGACGCGGGACCCCCGGAGAGTGACGCTTTAGGTCAGTCCCACGGACTAGAGGGCACGCGTTGCATTACAGCCTTCGACTTCAAGCTTCACCACGAAGCCCGTGGACCTCCACGTACAGTCAAGCGAAGAGAAGCGGTGCCACGTAAGAGAATGGCTCTCCGGGACGTGTGCCCGGTGAAGGTAGAACGTGCTTGGTGCATGTCATCAAGTTGGTTGCCTTACTCGTTCTTTACGTCCTTCGCTGCTCGGCTTAGCGAGCGACGTCGGCCGGGTTGACCTTCGAGGACCAACACCTCATTCAAGGCTTCTCCCAGGTCCAATGGGAAGATCGTGGCTGTCCGAAGGAGGAGGGTTCCTACGTGTTACTGTCTACGCAGGAGAGTCGCCGTACTCGTGACTTGGGACACATGAGTCAGGTATTGTTCTTTCCCTTAACGTCGCTGCATGTGTAACATGTCCATGGCGAACACACTGTTGGCGACGGCTGTGACGATGAGACTCTTGATGCTATAACAGTATCTATGCTACAGTTTACATGATACATTACGGGTATATGATGGAGATATGACAAAGGAGCGTGGAGATAGTGTGTGTGTGCAAAAGAGCCGCCAAGCCACGAGGAGAGACATTGGGTAAGGAGTGTGGTGGGGAATGCGCTCAGCATCATGGTATGAGGACCTGAGGGAGAGATTCAGAGCAAAGCGCAACGGAAGGACAGTCTGCATCTGGGCAGAGTCCGAGCGTTCACTGTTTTGTAAGCAGTCGGACGCGCCAATTACCCGGCCAACGTCCTACGACTCCGGCGCGGCGCCACTGAGCCAAAGTATGCGTCGCTCGGAAGCTGCATGGAGAATTGGGCGTCCGTTGGCATGTCCCTCGAGACTTGCGTCTCGATGGCCTTCCTGGAGTAGCCAGCATCGTGGACTATGTAGTCGTCCGGCGTAATTGGCGATGGAGAGGACTCGGGGGAGTCATACAGCGGTTGAAGTGAGGTGTAGGAAGCATGAGGAGTGTCGCGGTATGGGCGTATTTGCTCTGGGATATAGGCCGGGAAAGGAGACATCGGGAGCGTAGTGTAGAGCCGCAAGGGTGGTTGCGAGGGCGATGAGTGACACACCGATGATAGTGGTGGCGGTGGTTGGGCAACCGGGTCAGTAGCCCGGTGTGAGGGAACGGGATACGGGTACGTGCTGTGTGTGTAACCACTGGCTGTGGAGAGGTTGCGAGTAGGGAAGTGGATCTTTTCCCATGGCTTCGGGTGGTTACTGTACCGTTCGCGTACGTGTGCCTTGAAGACATGAAACAATTCCGTAGTAGGCGGATTAACCTCCATGTCCATCTCGCTTAGCAACTTGCGCTCCATGTGGTTCACCTGACGCACAGGGAACATCCCCTGGCTCAGAAGTGCGAAACTCTTGTTGCTGTATGTGTCGTCAAGCATCATCTTCGCAGTGACCACGAGAGCAGGGAGAAACAGTCGAAGACCCGATGTGCCGGTGCAAGCGGGATATCTCTCCTTCAGGCGATATAGGAGATATAAGGTAGAGAAGACGACCGCAGAGTCGAACCGGGTTCGGTACAGTACGTATGCGATGAAATGCTTGAGCGACTGGAACGGTATAGCGGGTTCCGCCTGCGATGGTTCGTGTAGGTCTGGGCAAGCGAACAGACCCCGCAAGAAATTTGTACTCAACCTTGCGAGTTCTTCTTGTCCGTAATACGGCGGTTGCTCCACGGGTAAAGCAGGCTATGAAAAAAAGCGTGGGTCCATCAGTCTTCCGTGACGAGTGGGATCGCTGTAAAGGACCTACCGCTACTCGATGCTGCAGCTTTGTTGCATGCGGGTGGCTGGAGCCTGGCGCCTGCCTCGTATGTTGGGATGACATGTGTGGCGCCTGCCACTGGAGAGAGGCCATGGTGGCGGTAAAGGAAAAAGATAGTGAGGGCAAGTTTGTGCTCACTGTTGCGGTAGATATGTAAGCCATTGAACTCTATTCCCGGCTCGACGCACCAATGCGTGCTACAAAGCAGCTAATTCAACACTGTGTCATAAGCGCCGACGTAGGGTCAATGCGTGTGTCGCTTCGTCAAAGTTGGGCCAAAGACGACGGCTCAGCATGCTCCGTGCCGACGCGAGCGATTTCGGCCTGTGCACAGAGGCTTGCGCCGTGGACGACTGAGTCGGACCCGCCAACAAGGCCGACGTTCGATAATCGCCGCAGCTGCAGACTGAGCTGCATTGCCTACAGAAGCAAAATGTCGCAAGACTGCGATTAGTGAACTGCCTCGTACCCGTAAGTCGTTGAAAGAAGATGCCGAGACAGTAGCATAGCCTACGCAGTAGTCAGTGTCGTAGTGCAGTGGCGATGCATGTATTACTCAGCTGCGACGGTCTCTACATCTGACTGATCCTATGTCAACACGCACTGGATTTGCGTCCGAGATGTCTAGCAACTTGGAGCAAGTTTTGCCTTGAAGACTAGCAGTCGCTGTTTTCAGAATAGTTATTCTATGGGTTTCTGTTGAGAGTACGATGATGATAGCGGACTGGGGCCAGAATACCTGCCTAGCTCATATTGCCAAGGGTCAGTGGGTACACACTTCAATGGAGAGAGATCTGGCATTATTAGCTGAGAACCAATCCACCAGTAAACTACGCTGTGCGACGTCCAAAGACGTCCTAACCTTTACTTTCGGCATGGCTTGCGTGTCGTCTTATGAAAACTTGTTGGTAACAAGCAGCACCAGGCGCACTGTCTACACACAAACATGAGCTCCAAAGGTGGGACGGATGATCTCGTCACGTACGTTGACGTTCAGATACGCATGTTCGGGCCTGACAACCCGCGTCTAGATAGTCATTGCAAGCAGCCGGCTTGGGTGGACTGCGGGTGCCGAGTCGAAGTCGCACGCGCATGGACGCTCCAGGTCACGCCTCCTAATGGAACATGGTCATGTGCCATCAGAAGATTACTTGTTCACGTACCACTATGACGGCATGCACGCTACAAAGGTCTACAGGAGGTACCGTCGTGTTGAGGACCTCGGCGAGCGACGTAGCAAACGCGTAGACAAACCCCATGAGCGTTCATCGAGCCATCCATGGAGGTGCGATTGCAAGTTCTGAGTTGTCCACAAGGCGAACATGCGAGAGCCAATAACCCATGAGAATGGGAGCGTACGCTTCCTTTCTTTGATCAGGGAACGACATTGACAGCCGACGGGGAAACGGCCTTCCACCAAAACGCCTACAAAACGTGTCAATGAGTCAACACTGTGCGTGCTGGCAGCCACATGGGACTTCTTACCTAAATCATCCACACAACACTACTTACTACAACGTGAAGCCACTGAGCAACTTGTGTGTCATATTCTCGCTTGAAGCTGAATAGTCTTTGAACAATAAATGGACGAACCATAGCAATGAATGTTGTGACCTGTTGGACGACACGAACACAAGCTTGAATGGAAGCAAGTGGGGAGCGGCGCAGGCGCTGTCCATATCGTGCGGCCTTCCCATCACAATTTTCCAATCCTTACAGAGCACAGTGTGAGCAGGAGTCGCGCAGCGCGAACCAGAGGAGGAAATAACGAAGGCGCTACCTGTGCGTGGAACAGCGCTTGAGGGAAGTTTGGTGCCTCGTGGCCTGCGCATGCCCCGTCGGGTAAGTGAATAGTCTTTCTCATTCAGGAAAGGTCGCATGAACAATGTACGTACCTATGCAAAGCGCATGTCGTGCTGCTGGTACAATGCCAGCGCGCCGATAGCGAGCTGCTGTAATTCAGTTGTGAACAGGTCCCGCAACCCTACCCAATCTGCGCACCACCCGCAGTGGAGCACGATGTTTCTCAGAAGCGCTCACAACGCGGAGAAGAGCTCTCCCGACCCGTCATGGCACTCGTGCACTCGCGCGCCTCGCATGAAGGACTTCACTTAAGTCGCCAGAGTATGGCGAGGCTGTGACAAACAGTGCTCCCTGCCCGCAAGCCTGAAACGCAAGGTGTATCGGGAAACAGACCTCGACGGCCGGAAGCGGGAATCCGGATCAAGATCAGAATGCAATAGAGTTGCTGGGAACAAGGTCCACGGCCGGTACGGAGACTCGCACTCGAAAGAGGCCGGGTTCCCGGACCTGTCAATGTGGAAGGACGCGGTATCGCTTCCTGGACAGTCCCGCCGGCGAGCACGGCGATCTCTCATCGCGCGGAGCCAAAGGCTCTTCGGGGCGCTGAAGAAGCTGAGAAAGGGCCTGGTAGGGCGCCAGAGAAGGCCCCTCAAGGAACCGTATCAATTTCCGGACCTCCAGCCTCGGTCCTTGAACGGGATACCGGACAAGAATCATGGATCAGCGCACAGTTCCTCGACCGGTATACTTGTCGCACATCCATCTCAAACGTGTGTCCTATCGTCCATCCTGGCGCGCGGCCGCCAAGTTGGCATTCAGGCTGTCAATGAGCGCGGGTAGAAAAAGACAGAGAGCGCCAGGCGTGAAGTAGCTGCTTGCACGATTTGCGCGAGGACAATGATGCGCCTATCGTCCAAGTTCGTGGGATGAGACTATAGTTGAGATCAACACAATGGACTTGCAGGTTCACAAGTATCCAAATCCGATCCTGGCTTGATCTGGAGATGTAGACGGAACCGGCGCACCCACCTCGAGCTCAATGTCCTTTGAGGGTGGCAAATCGGTGGCGACATCTAGGCTCCTCGGTACGATAGAAGTACGCCAAGTGGCGAAGGAAGAACGCCCACTGAATCTTCCGGACCCGCGAATGTAGCTAAAGCATGGGCGATAAGGGAAGTTCAAGCTCAGCGAAAGCAGCAAGAAAGGGGGGACGCGTACGCAAGCAGCAATCACGCTTGTGATGGCCACTAGGTGACATCAGGATGAGATCTAGCCAGAGGCATCGGAGTGCGACCCGGGTCGTCTTCGCGCCTCCGAGCTCTCCAATCTAGTTGCCGTCGGCTTGCTTTGTGTCCACAGAGGCTTGAAGCGACGATAGGACCCAATGGTCCTTCACTGCTCAGCGAGGAGGAAGTCGTCCACGTCTTTTGCAGTGAGCATCGCTCAGACCTGAGCAATGCGCACAGACCAAGCGCGAGCTCACCTGCCAGTTGACATGCGCGGGACAAAGTCCGCGAGCAGATACCTGAGATACGCGACCTCGTCCGGCCCATCAGGACGCTACCCATGGGTGGCCACGTGTCGTCTTCCCCGCCTAATCATAGCCACGAGGGGTCCGCCGTGTGTGCGGGATGCATGTATTATCATGAGCGTGAGAGCGTCGTAGCGTCTGGGATTGAACGAATCTAGCGAGGTTCGAGAGCGAGTGTGAGCGTAGATCACTGTGTGTACGGAAACTGCTTGAGACACTGGTAAGATGGCTAGAGTCAATACGAATGAAGCAAAGAGCACATACTTGAAGCGCCTGACGTTATCATGGCTGCATTGTGTGGCTCGGTTATCTGTCTCAGCATTCAGGGGCGGGACCGCAGGGTGCGACGACCTTGCCGCCGGCGAGTACGGTATATCAGAAGATGCCGGCGGAGACAATGGTGGACGAGAAGGGCATTATAAACGTAATGAATGCTTCCGTTGGGAGTGTCCAGAAGCATGTTCTGCATCATAGTGGGGGATACGCGTGTCGCAGAGATCTCAGTGGCAACTTGACAACCTCGCGAGGGGACGGAAAACGTGTTCGCTATGACAGTGTCGTTTGTAGAGCTTGAGTACGGGAAAGATGCACAGAAGCATACCTTGTGCAGCGCGGAGATGGTGGTCGTGTAGACGCGATAGCTGTATAGAGGCTGAATGCCGTGCTCTTCGCGACCCGCGCGCGATGCGTCGAGAAAAATGAGGGAACGCAGCGAGCACGCTGGATCCCCAAAAGATGGACGTGCATGATGCGGAGTAACCATTCAGATGTTCGGGAAGCAAGGCCGCAATCCGACGCCCGCCGACAATGAAGGCGGGAAGCAAACAGCAGAACACGAGTCGGCCGCCGCGCTTGGAAACCGCTTGATTCTGATGTCGTCAGTGGCTCAGCCAGCGCTGAGCGTCTGTAAACTCTTAAGTCATGAGAACATGCCGTGGACGTTCGTCTAGTTGTCAGAAAATATTTCGGAGGGAATAAAGTGACCAAGCGTACATTCGGGAACGTTAGATTTCCAGTATGGTTACACTGCGGTCAAGCCGTGTATGGCGTCGTAGTGTGCACCACGATTGTCGGCAAACATCTGTGGTGTGGCAAACTGTTTTAAGCGAAAAAACTCCATAGGCGCTGATAGACTTTCGTGAACTGGTGGGGAGTCCCAAGCACTCACCTCGAGGTAGAAGTGCCCAAAGGACATCTTGGTGATAGTTCGAGAAGGGCTATAGGTAACTCAGAGAACTCCAATAATGTTTAGATCCCCAGGCGCGACGTGCACGGGGAGTACGACGACAAGCCTCTGGAGGCGCGCTTGGACGTGTACCTGTAAGCGAAATTTCTTGGGAAAATCCGCAAAGCACGAAGTTCGACGCGTAGGTGAGCCGATATACTGTGGCGCCATACACGGCTTGACCACGGTGCAACCATAAGTACTGGAAAACTGACGTTCTGGGATGGACGGTGGAGGCCAGCGAAAGAATGTGATTGAGCCAAGGGGTATAGTATATACTACTTAATGCGGAACGTGATGTTGTTGAGGTACTACGCCGAGTTCCTATTCTGTCCTAATGGCACGGTGCCTCTTTGAGCTGGACCATCAGTAAGTAGGTCTACTGTCCGCGGTCTCCCGTACAGGGAAACTGTGATTACTGATCCATGCATTATCCAATAATGTTGTTGGTTGGAAAGGTTGTTTCTCCTTACGGATAAGTTCCCTTCGCATCGTAGGGTACAGCGACCTGAACTGTTCACCCAATGTATGAATGCTTCACTTGACATTATACGGGTGTTCTCTTGACTCCTAAGTGTCGTAGGGTCTACATCTCTTTCTCCGGCCCACCTGCCATCTTAGATTCTCGGGTGTGACACTGACGCCTAAGCCGCCCTCGCGGAACACGCATAAGTTTGTTGTGATAGAAGGGACGTAGACTCCGATAAGCCGCCCACTTCTAAAACTCCTATGCATACAAGAAAAGGTTCAAGCGAAGTAATGGAAACGCGAGGGCGTCCATTACATTGCTGTCGACAATACAACATCTCAACAGTCTTCGGTCCCCACGAACCTCGATCGTCTTGGTTCAGTCAGAAGGCGAGAGTCAGGAGGACCCTCAGGCCAGAGAGCTTCTGAGAATATCTACGGTTTGGCGATGAGCAACAGATGAAGCAATACCTCCTGCTCACTCAAGTGCTGCACTTCATCAACGGACGCTGATAATGGTCCTTGCAGGCTCACCAAGGCCAATTGCTTTTATCGGGCACACTGGTCTCAAATCTATGCATCTCGCATATGTACTTCGAGTAAACAACATCCCAACATCCCACTCGCACGATCACCCGCGGCATGCCATCCCACGAGGGCTCGCCCTCGAATGCGCGCGCGATCATTGATGGTGCAGCAGATGAGTGCGCCGTCTCTGATGCCAGACGGCACATACTCCTCTTTCGGTATAGCCCAATCACATCCGGTGCTGCTACTTAGCTCTGCGTTCAGTATGAGCACTTGGATTCCGAAGGTGAGGTCACGCCAAAATCATCTGTACTTGGCCGCCGGACCTCGGAGGCCCGGATCGGCGTGACCTCACTTCGTCTGATGGCAGAACAGCAAGTAGTTTGGGAGGTCACAGATTGAGGAAGGTCGCGCGATGAGGGGCGCATGATGATGACCGCGTCAGCCGTTACTGGAGCAGTCGACAGGACCATGTAGGGGTGCCGCCGCCATCATCTCAGTCGTACAGGGGTCCGCGGAGGCGTCAACCTGCCTCCTGGATAGTCCCAACAGTATGAGATCGTTGCAGGTGAGCCAACAATCCATGTGAACTCAATACGATCAGCAATGAGCGACGCGACCATACGCCATGTGCTTCGATTCCGAGCAAGGAGCAAGAGCCGGACGGTGGACTTTGAAAGACAAGACGCACAAACCAAGACGCGAAACGCCACCCACTTGAGACATCCTATTCGAGCGCGCCCAGGCTAGCGTTCAAAGGTGTGGTAGGACGCGATCTACGGTGTGCTCTGTGGACGACAGGCCTCGGGCGTGGTGGCCCGTCGGAGATTGGTATATCGGGCGCGGCTGTCTACGGTCATGATTCGTCAGTGCACACACGCGGGTCCACAGGTATACCTGGATGGGTGGACCACCGCCGTTTCATTCGAGGCCGAAGGCGTACGACAGGAGCCACCAGCCCCCAAGTCGACACCTGACTCGAGCTCGATGCAGGGAATAACTGGCCACCCGGCGCTCATCGACATCCGCGAGCAGAGACATCGATGGTGGCGCGGGATCACGCTCGCCGATACCTCAATGAGGGGCAGGAGCACGATGATGAGCCTGACTTGTGAGCGGGTGACGACAGATCGACGTTTGGGTCTGCATCGGCCCGCACCTATCGGCATGCCCTACCTGAAAAGTGCGGTGCACCGACGGGTTCGTTCAGCTGGACGGATAGGGGACAGCGCGAGTATGTACAGCTCTTACCGAAACCGTTGCGGAGGCAATTCTGTCGTGACTGAGCAGCCAGCGTACCCGCGAAGCCCTCCAGGAGGCATATGCGTCTCCTCAGGACCGGACACCAGGCCACCAAGCCGAGGCACCCGGGGAGCGGATACAAATAAGGATCGACATGCATCGCGCGATGCAAGAGGCACCGAGGAAGCGGCCACGCGCGGGCCGCGGCGCGCACTGCCCTGATCGAGCCAGGTCCGCCGCGTGTACGCTTGTGGATTGCGCGATGCCGGAAGAGGACCAAACGTGGCTAGCGCGGCTGGGGGCACGTTCAACGTCCAACGTTCAATATCAGTCACCCGCTGCGGAGGCGCGTACCGTAAGCGACGCGAGCATGCGCTATGCGCCCGGGTTCTGATATGCACAACAAGGGGAATTCGACCTCGGACTTGGCCATATTATGCTGACGCCGCTGCGGACGGCTGGCTCATTGCACTGTACGTACGAAGCGCTCCGCCTCGCATCGCCCGCTGCGCTGTCCGACAGCCACATTGGAAGGCGAGTGAAAGGCGACCTGAGAGCGTCTACTCACGTGTATACGCATGTGCTTGCTTACTTTTGCGCATCCCACCGAGACTCGAAACGCTACGGCGAGCGCAACAGCGCCGAGCCCATGAAAAGCCTGTAGTCCGCCGTCCGGTCCGGAACCCACATCCCGAGAAATACGCAAAAACGGAGAGACCCCGGGCGGGGACGATCGAATGGGGGAAGAGAAGGCGGCGTCGGGTCGGCCGTCGTCAATGCAACAAATCGCGCGACGCTGGGCGGCGCCGGTTCCTCTCGAAGCCGAAGCCGAATATCGCGCAGGTCCCGTCCGGTCGCCCGCCCGCCAAATCGATCGGTCGCGATCGTGATCGCACTTGATGGGGGAATTGGGCCGAAGAACGTCGGGCGCGATCGGGATGCGCGGACTGCCCAGCACGTTGCGCTGGAAGGTACTGACGTGCAACGTCGAACTTGCAAGAGACACTCAACATCGACAATGGGGGACCTATGATCTTTCCCTGTATAAGTCTTGGGGCGGTGCATAATAACCCTACTACCTAATGCGAGATAGATACGTGGAAGGTGGGAAGACCGAGTGCCATGGTGTTCATTTAGTACTAGTATACAACATGTGGGATATATGAATATGAGAACCGAGACCGATGTTGCTAGAGAGTGGATGCTTGGATGTGTGCAATGTGTGTGCGCGTGCGATGAGCAATGATGTAGACGATAGAGACAGAGAGATGAAGAGAGACGACGAATACCGATGGACAAGACCCCAATGCCCAGAACCGATGTGGATGGCGAAGACGAAGGTAAGGGCGGGGGTATTACAATAGGTCCAAAGTCATGCATGCAAGAGTCAAGGACGATGATGAGAAGAAGCAACAATAGAGCACGCGCGCATAAAGTATTGTAGTAGCGGCGAGCAACGTCCAAGCAAGGACGACAATGGAGCAGAGACGTAGCCGGAGGCCGGAAGACAGCCCTACCAAACACAGGGGGCGGCACGGGCGAAGATGTCCCCACACTTGGCCTTCTTGAGAACGGCAGGGACGTTACGCGAGGCATACGTCGCCGACGTACTCGAGACCCCGGGCATGTGCGACGCAGCTGTGGGCGACTGCGAGTCGATGTTGATAGGTGTCCCGATCGTCCCGCTCGATACGACCCGTACTGAGTGATCCTCATACCCAAGCGGCGTCGAGGGTGGCGCACTTGACGCAGGCGACGTGGACGTCGACATCGACGATTCCGGAGTATCAGGGGTGCCAGGGGTGTAGGGCGAGGACGACGCCGAATGCGGCGGGGCACCCGCGTGCACAGGCACAGGTGGGGGTATCGGCTTCGGTGGCGAAGTCGATGGCGGCTGCTGCGAACGTGCAGCGAAGGAGGGAGTGGGCGCAGGACCCGTTTGAGCGGCGTATGGCGTCGTCGAGGGCATGGGTGAGGGAGCGGGGGAAGGGAGGACATACGTCGGGTAGGGCCCGAGGCCCTTGAAGTCACGTCGAACCTTCGCCTCAAACTCTTTCAGCGCGTTGGGCTCGATATTGAGCTGCCACTCCAAATACGAGCACATTTCCCGCTCCATCTGGTTGATTTCTCTTAGGGCGAACATACCCTGGCCGACGATCGACCAGGACTTGTTGGAGTAAGTGTCGTCGCAGATCACCTTCGACGCGATCATGAACGCCGATATAAATAGACGATGGCCTGAGGACCCCCGCGCGGCAGGGAACCGGGCTTTTAGGCGTTGTAGCAGATAGAGGGCGGCGAAGGTGACCGACGAGTGCAATCGTGTACGATGGAGGGCGTACGCGATGAAATTCGCCAGGGGAGGGGAGGGTGCGGGGGGCACGGCAGTGGATAATGGAGGCAGATCCGGACACGCAAACAAATGCGTGACGAATCTAGCACAAAGTTTCGCGGTCTCTTCGTGACCGTAGTATGGGTCCTGGGTCAAAGCGTCAGGGTCCAGAAAGGCAAGTAACGAAAAGCGCTTGGACTTACGACCGAATGGCTCGAACTCGAGCCCGATGGCCTTGCGGACATGCGAGCTTGCCTCTTGAGAGGCGAGGGGTGACGAGCGGCAGATGGACCTTGTACGGCGGCCATTGAGAGGGTGTCGCGATTGGGGGAGGGGTCGAGGGAGTGGTACGGGAGATGACGGGGAGTTGTGGGGAAAGGGCTGGGAGGAGAGGTTCTGATATAAGCATAAGCTGGATGCGGCTAGTCGAGGCAGGATATGAGAGCTTTGGAGCCTTCCACGGTAGAAGGGCAGGAGGCAGGCATGGGTGGGAGCTGGCCCGGCACGCACCCTCCTCCGTGCGGCCATGCAACAAGATAAATCCGCCGCGCTTATCCCATCACCCAACAAATCAGCCGTAAAGTTGTAACGGAGTTCAAATCTGCGCCCTTCTGATCCGGCTCCCGGGAAGACTTCCAGCTTCGAAAGGAACACTCACCGTCAGAAAATACCCGTTTTGGCACGCAACGAGGCGGAGGCGTGGACTGCTCACGAGGCACCGCGAGGCAGATGGGGATGGCTTGATGTGGGCTTCGTACGTAGCCTAGCTAGACGAGGACGCTGGAGCTGGCGGGAAGCAGCAGAGGAGTGTAAGAATTGTACAGGGAGAGAGGCGGATAAGTCGCTGAGAGTGGATGCGACGTCGACGAGAGGGTCCGCAGAGACCCCCAAGAGTATATAAGTTGGGTGGGGTGGGATGTGACACTGCCAGGAACGTTATCGAGATCCGGACTCCCACGCTCCAAGCGCGGGACACCCCCGTTTTCGGAGGGGTCCATAGACTGGCCCGAGACTCCGAGCCATACCGGGCCTTGCCGCGCGCCCGACCCCGTCGCACCCAGCCCTCCACATCGCCCCTTGCCCCTCTGAACTTACTGAACGCCAGTCATATCCAGTCACCACAGACAAAAATCTTCTCCTGTCGTAACATAGAATTGCCGACGACAGCCAACCCCGCCCTGCCCCGAGCGGGGCCCGCGGCCAGACCATGCGTAGCGGCATAGCATCTGCGCAACAGTTACACCACTGCCTGATGCGCTGTCTGCTTCATGTACCGCCGCGCGTGTTGAGCCAATCAATGCCGATGAACAAGCCGTGCTTGTGTAGCCGCGCCTCGCAATTGCTCGCGTCGGCCGTCTGCTTGCTACGATTACCACAGGCGACCCGTTTGTACCATACCCCGCAAATCAGCTTCCGAGCGCGCGCCGCGCGTGTTCCTAACATTACTGAAGCCACTTTGAGCACTCACACCATGTCTTCTGTCCGACTGGGGACAGCTCATACACTACATGCAACGCGCGCCACGGCTCGTGTCGGTGGTGGTGGCGCATTCCCGGGACAGCGGCCGTTCCTTGGCTTTGTGCTATCCTGAACGCCGTCATCACAGGAACGCTCAGAATAGCGGACAATCGCAAACCCCATTTCGGGACGCTCAGCTTGTCCTCCGAGTGCCACTCCACTACCCCACAATTGCTCGATTCATCGTCCCTCGAGAGTTATGAATGGGGTCTCCAAGCCCCAACGTTCACATGTGTACAATGAAATCCGGTTATCCACCTACGTATCCGTAAATCATGAAGTCTTACTGCCAACACGCGATACAATTGGCAACACATCTAACTCCGTCCGCGTCCGCGCTTGGGGGATGACAATGGAATACAACAACTTCTTCCGAGCATAACCTCGCTCGATCCCATGACGTCGGACCATGTGCCAAATAAGCGCTCTTTATTTGCTCGGATGTGCCACAATAGGTGCCCAATTTTTAGGACCACTGGACACGCTGAGAGCTTGCGGAGGGTGGCGATGAGGAACATAGCCACAGTTGGTTGTTGAATGCGTCCTCGAAACCTCTTGAGCGATGCCGACGGTCCTTCTCGAAGCTACTAAGTGTCAATCGACGTGGCGCCCGTGGCCAGTGGCCCTGCATAAGGATTGAACACCCCTATAGCGAACCACATTACACAACGTCTATGAGAGTTGTTCTGGACGCACTATTTGACGGTATTGGATCTGGTTCATCTCAGCATTGCGTGGAGTGCTCCACATTTATCCTGTCCAGGCGCTCGCGCCTCCCAGCAAAGGCAGTATCAGTCCTGCACGGAAACTCCTCTCTGCGAGGCCACTTCTGTCGCACTATCAGGTAGAGTGAAAGCAGGCGTGCCTTCAGGCCCCTCGCAAAAATCGTGCGAGCGAGCGAGGGGCAGTTATGAGTTGACCTCAGGGTGAGCGCGTATAACCTGTTCGGGTGAGTCAAGGTATCTGTTATATGTAAGATCTACACTGGGAGCGCTGACAAATGTCATTGCTCCACCAATACTTATTGGCTTCAGAACAACTCTATTGCACCCTCATGTTTCTCGAGTTTTGTAACATCAACTGTCGCGGACGCACAGTGCCCGCGTATGATGGGCAGGTGTGCCCATACGGACCGCCATGCATGTTTACGCACCCGCATCCCGTTTCTCGCGCAAGCGGATCCGCACGTCAAACCTCCTCCCCAATGCAAGATTTCCAATAAACGCTCCCCGCGCCAGGCCGTCCGACACGGAGCGGACCGCCAGCATCGATCTGAAAGCAAACTCGTTGCACGTCGCCGAGCATCACCTATCATCCACACCGCATCTCCTAATTGTCCTCCTGCCGCCTGCGGTCTTTATATTCGGCCCTGTGCGCTTCGATACGGACTCACTTGGATTGCGACGGTGTAGACGTCCGTGCGTTTCGGTTTGACCTCTCCGTAATACCCGTCTTCCCGCCTTCTTTTCTGCGCCGCCGTGGCTCGCGTTACCCCCGGCGCCGCACGGACGGGCGTTCGATCCTTACACTCCTTCCTCAATCAAAGCGCTTTGTACTACATCGCAGGTACAGCGATTTCCAAGTCCTCTCGGTAGCCGACGATAGAAAGTTCGTCCTCGTTTGGGCGGTTCTCGCGTGCAGGCCCTTCTTCCGCTTCCCGACGACGTCTATATCTTTGGTGCCTGCTACAAGTGGAACTCGACGGTCTCGAGACGGCGCTTCTGGATCCTACTTCGGCGCCGCGACTTCGTACGTCTGTTTCAAGCTCAGGACCCGTGGCACGATGCTCAGGCAGCCGGACAGCCCAAACGCGGAATCCGAGAACCGCGACGTCCTGGCGACCGGTCAGGAGGCGGGAGCATGGGAGACGCGGCGAGGTGAGTGCTTTCGGTAGCTATCATTACATTTCTCTTCTCGTGCACTCGCGTTCCTGCGTTCTCTCGCGTATCCTGCTGGAGTATGTATACACATCACGGAGGGAGGTCATTCGCGCGTGAGTGTCAATGCCGACAGCTTTCATATGGCATCGATTTCGGCGATCGCCCGTGCGCTCCCGCCTCTGGGGCTCCTCGGCAATCGCGCTTCCGTTAGGGTAAGAAGACGTGTCGATGAGCTTCTCTGAGGCGTGTCGTGGAGGCTTGCCCCTCAGTGCGGTGCTTGCGATGGGTGCCACGATGTCGCATAGTGACTATATACGTCGCGCGTGGCCGCGCGGGGGCGTAAATTGTACGTACGCCCTGCTTTCATGGGCATATTCAGCGTTCGTACTTCGGAGCGGAGGGGGGGGCGTGCTCTTCGCATTTTTCTCGCTTGCGAACGGCGGGCGCGAGATAGATGCGCTGGGTTACGAGACGAGACGTGCCACGTCTGTCGGCGAGCCGATGGATTTGGACGTGGCTATTGAGAATGAAATCCGAGGGGTGCGCTGGCGAATGGGTGTGATCCACTCTACCCGCTCTATCGCTGAATCAGGATCGGGGGCGATCGCGGGACGGGGACCTCCCCCGGGCACCCGTGAGCATTTGCCACGTTCGCGCACGTTCTCTGCATTGATAGCGCTTTCCGCGCATGCGAACGCCAGGTGTCGTATCGTGTTAGGCTGGGAGTGCGCTAGCGGATGGAAGTACCAGTGTGTGCGTTCGCTCCGGGTGCCCCGTATTAATCCATCCTGCTGCCAGACGATCTGGCGGGTCAACACGGACGAAGCTGCAGTTGAGCTCGTTGTCTGTTGTCTCTTCACGCTGCTGTAGAGTTACATCTAGGTCTTGGTCGCTCGGCACGGAGGACAGAACCCCTTGACCCTCCCTTTCGAGATGCTGCAGCTGCTCCGGCAGACCGATGCGCTTTGGAGTGCGGGCCTGTTGTTTCCTTATCCATTCTTGCTGCCGCGATGGTGTGTGCCGCCGTAATCCGCCTCCCGTGACGACTGAGGACGTCCTGCCGTATCTAGATCCGGCAGCTTCAGCCTCAATTCACAATGCCATCCGCTGGCTGTTTAACGGCACGCACATCGGCCAGCTGTTATTGGTTCTCCCTCGCGCGAGCACCCATCGTCATACCTGGCCCCCTGCACGCCTCGCGAGGGCGGACACACTGAAATGTCTCCAGGCTCGAGCGTGTGCGAGCGGGACTGCGCCGCGTCCTGCGAGTAGGGGTGCATCGCATCTTCATTTACAGGGCGTGTTCGCAGGCGAGCTTATTCCACGTTCTCCCTCGTTTCTCGCGCTCTCTCGATCAGCTGGTGAAGGGACAGCTGCGCAGGGCCTTTGCCCTATTCCCAGCTTTACCCCTTTTCTGCTCTCGTCTTCTTGCCACTCCACGGCTGTGCGGCTGTCCTGGGCTAGCGGAGTGGGTTTTAGAGTCTCAATTGACTAGCGAGCATAGTGCCCGAGAGGTCCGAGCCGAGGGGAGGGGGTCGAGGGTTCGAGGACCTCGGAGATCTCCCGAGACGGTCCCGTATCTGTCACCGAGAGGTATCTTGGTGGCTTCCGTTTCTGTTCTTTCTGCCTTCTGAAGGTGCTCTAGATATCTTGTTCTGACCTCGCCCTTCAGTTCAGTCAGTAAACATGCCCGTTCTGCTCTTAGAACTTGGCACGATCATGAGACCAGTTAATCTTCTATATGATCGAAGCCATCTCAGGATGCAGAAGAGGGCCACTGACCGTATATGTTTGTCCAGGCCGGAGGTTCAGACGCTAGGGCGCGACATTGTTGGGCCTTGAAACAAGTTCGCGCGTTTTTCAGTCTCACCACCGATCGTGCATGCGCAAGTTCCTGCGGTCTCGAGTGGTGAAGTATGCTTTTAGACAAGGTGACGTCAAGTGTCTCTTCGTCGCATCCGACTTCCCGAGCACTGCGGCACGCTGTCGACCTGCTCCTTCCATCGCCTTCGAATTCATCAAATTCATCATGCGAACCCTGCCCGTTCGCATCTTGGGTCTCTGCCACTCGGGGAACCGTACTTCCGAAGAGCACAAGACCGCGCGAGCAGATTTGCAAGTCGACATCGGTATCCATCAACACTTGGACAGCATCTAGAAGAAGGCTGTGGTCGATTCTCCTTGGATAGTCCGATCGTGGCTAGGCACCCGGTGAGCCGTGGTCAAACCTTGTACATAAGCCTGGCATGTGCGCGCAGTAAGCGTGCGATATCCTCTGACATCATTGTTCCCGCTCTACCTCCCTTCCTCCCATACGGACCTTGTCCTGAGGACTTCCCTCACCTCTTGTCTTTCATATGGCATCCACGTTCTCAGTATTCCAATGACGATGTCGGGCATACGGCGCTGCAGCGCACCTGTATCTTCTGCCGCCTGCGGCATCGCTGTCGGCGGGTTCCAAGCGCTCGGCCATCCCTGTTTGACCGGTTGACCCCTTGGGTTTGGTTCCGAAACCGAGCCTATATTACGGCGGTAGCTTGAGCTCATACGACATAGACAAGACAGGACCGAAGAGAACAAATCAAGGTGGTAGCAAGGTCACCATGCTCGGCGTTGGCGGCCTGCGGTCTCCTTAACATGTGTTCTCGTTTCCAGTCCTAGTCTATGCTTCTGCTAATCTGCCAGCGGACCTATGAGTGGTCGCCGAGATCAGTTCAAAGTTTCGAAGACCGCCTTCTAGATGTCCGGCATGTTCAACCGCTGCGCAGTTCACAGGTCGGTGCGTCGCACACTTGTTATGTCCGACACCGGCCTACAGTAGTCTGGCTCCTTGTCCCCGTCAGCGGCCTTCTGGTCCATGTAAGCGAGTCTACTCTGTCGAGTTTAAACTTGGTGAACAGATCAGATATGTTTTGTACTGTTCAGATTGTCGACCTCGGCGCCAGGCTGCTATCCGTCGCAGTCTGCTCGTCGGTCGTAGGGCCATGTCATAATCTGGCATCTCACAGAAGGATCTGCGATACTTCTCCCTGTGCATGGTCCGTGGACCATCGCTCCCACTCACTGTCGTCGCGAAGCCTGATTCGCGCCTGCGTCGATCACACGTCCTGACAACTGCATATGCGTAGAGCGTCTGCTCAGCTTCTCCTTGATCTTCGTTGGGGAGTTTCACTGCCAATATTCAGCAGGAAGCACATCCCTTACCTGCGCATCACCCGATGGAGTCGTACGTGCGAGCGATTATCGACATGGCAGGAACCCGACGATGCGCATCGGGAGATGGGAGGCGAGACTCGGAGATGGGGGACCCTTGCACTGCCTTTAAATGAACTGCCATAAGTCGCCGGGGACTGAGGTTCCCATCCCTCGTATGGCAGCGTGTTACAGTATGTACATCCCCACTAGCTTAGCCTACGTCGCCGTCTTCCCGTATTTGGTCCCTGGCGGCATAAGACGTCGGTGCACGCTGCGCTCAACGGAAAGCCCCGGGCCGTGCGAATATGCTCATAGTACGGTTCTCACCGTGTTCAGAGGGGTCACATTGGACTCCCTCGCGCTATCTAGTGTTCTCGAGGACCTGTCGCGAGTCTCAGTATTCGCTATGTTATGTGTTGACTGATATCTGGGTTCACTCAGCCAAGGCCCTCTGCTACCGCAAGCATGACTAGACGTCGAGGGGCGTACCTAGTCGGTGATGGATTTACAGGGAACTGCTCAGGCAGTCGCGCTCACGTCGCCTATCTGCCGTCAGTAAGGCTTTTTGCTTACTACATTCCCGCACGTCGCCGAGACTGATGCTATGATGACAGTTGCAGGATACAATCCCGCACTACCGCCTTCATGTGCTCCTCTCCCGATCTCCACCGCGACTTCCTGTTCTCCCACAGACTTTCCTTATGCGATATGTCAGGGTCGAACGGCTGCCTCAATTTTGTATGTTCTGCGGTCAATCTCGATGGCGCTCACGCTGATCCCTAAAGGTGAATTGGGGCGCTAATCATCTTCTGTTTCTGTCGACATCTCCATCCCTCGAGTCAGATTCGACGACGACTCAACTTGCTACTTTGACTATGCCCTCGACCCAGGGCAAGCACAGTCATGTGGGTCAAAGGCAGGCTCATGCAGCCGCATGCTTAAAACAGGCGGGTCATGCGCTCCATAGCTGCCGTCACTTCCTGGCCACTGACTAGTACCGTTCCAGGGACAGTGACGCTACGCATCTCGCTTGCGCTTCACACATCGATTCTGAGACTTCGACTTCCTGCCGCCGGCATGTCTGCTTGACATATCATTCCTCTTCTGTTCTTCTGTTAGTCCGATTTCACTTCTTCTGCTCTTCCACCACCTATTGACTTCTTCTACGTAGCTTTTCCAGTGGCCAGTCGACGTTCACTCTCTTAACTCTTGCCGTTGATAGGCATTGCGTGTCATCAGTGCGGATATAGGACACATGGCAGTCTCCTTGGCATTGTGACGTCCAAGCGTTTCAGGTTGAGGTGAGTGGACATCTTCGATGTAGCGGTTCTCTAGTCTATTCGCGAGCCAGCATCGGCACGTCGCATCAATGCTTCATTCCCCTGCCGCTGTCCAGCCCTGTCCGTGGTGTAGCTTGGTCGGTTGTACCAGGCAATGGGTCAATATGAATCGTGGACATGGCGCGTAAGTCAGCTCAGCTGACTGTCATGACTGGCGGTATGGCAGCCTCGACTGTTCGACGTGCTTTCCGGCTCTTGCTGTTGTTCTGTAACACGCAGGAAAGAACATACCATATACTGCAGACTTGGTGATACAGGCCGAGTTGGTGCCGCAACGAACCCTTTTGTTCATGCCGCCGACCTCACGCCGCCGCGGCGCTCCGTTATAGGCTTGACGCGCCCACGGCGCCTTCTCAGGACGCGGGTTACGGAAGGCGGCAGCGGACGGCTTCGTACATTCGTATCGGAGGCTTTATTCGTGCGACCATTCGCTGAGCGCGATGACAGTCAAGGTGACTTCTGGATCGCGCCATCAGACTGAACTGACCACTTCCTTTTCTGACGAGGAGCGGGACCTCCAGCATATTTTCTGCGTGCATCAGGCACTAGAAGGCTAACCTACTTGCGCTCGGTTGTAAGTTCTGCCCTGTTTCGAGTGTACAACCTGGGACAGGTCGCGTCGGCTCGCGTCCTTGCGCTGATTTCACATCGGCACGTCCTCATCCTTCAATGCGCTCCAACGCTCGAGTCCGTGCGCGAGAGCAAAGTCATGTATCTGCGTCTCAAGCTGACGTGCGGCGGCTCCGAGTTACTGCGCGAACAGTACTTCGGCTGCAATCGATTGTGGCTCGTTCGACTCCAGGAGTAGTCTCGAGAGCTGGACATGTTTGGGCCCACACTCACGTCTACAAAACGTCGAGCATTCCATGTCTAGCACCGGTGTCGCGCACGTTGCACGTGATCGCATGGTGGACCCATCAGCTACCATCAGCTACTCAGGAGCGTGGTAGTAGTCCCTCCAGTGTCTTGATGGAGTGGTTGTGTGAAGTATAGAGCAGTCCATCCTTACATGCAGCTTCTCGTGTCGCCTTTGGAACGATTGCCAATGCGGATTGGCTCAGTACACAGGTCGCTGGGCTGTGCGTCTAGGGCCTTGGGTGGCTATTTTGTGCGCGATTGCGCGTTGGAGTTTGGTAAGCACCATCGGTCGATGTGTGTCTCCAACCGCCTCGAACGAACGAAAGTGGAGTTCATAGCCGCAAGCTCCGGACGGAACGAGGTTCTGGGCGCTGCTGTGCACAGCCTCATACATTTGGGGATATGATCACTCAGCGACATTTCGTGCCGGAATATTCTCGCTCCGCCTGAACTTCCTCCGGATTCGGAGGCTCCGTCTCCCACCTCACTGTTCAGTTGCTTCCATGCATGGTCTGAGTGCGCACGACAAGGGAGAAGTCAATGTCAAACGACGCCGATGTCGGACAAGAAAAAGCATGCAGTTTCACCGGAGCACGATCGGATGGCTACCCTCAGCCTTGAGGCAGAGTCAAGGTGAGTAGCTTATCGAATCCATAGTACGTCGAAAATACTAAATGGTGTTTGAGTAAACAACGAGATACTTCACAGCGGGCTCACCCAAACAGGTCAGGATGAGGCATGGGCCGTATCTGCTCAAAATTGCATGCAGTTGCTGCACACGATGACTTGCTGCGAGCGGTGCAAGGTCCGTCCATGTTCCTTCTTGTTCGCAATCACGTATCACACTTTCCAGAGCTGGGCGTCGAAGTTGTCGCCACTCTACACGGGCCGTGGTGTCTTCTCTTTGACTTAAGTCGTTTGCGCAGCTAGACGACCCCGGGTTGCTCTACGTTTGAGGAATTTGACACGTGCCGTTACTCCGTCATATGATTCACTTCTCCATTCTTACAATGTGTGGGGATGGTTTCTTACCACGCCGTTGAGCGTCGGGCCTGCCGGGTCTCTTGGACACAGCGGATCTAATCGATGACTGATCTGTCAACAGTACTCCCTTCTTGGTGACGCACAATTTTGTGAACCATGCAGCGAACCTGTCTCTGTCACGAGTGCTTGCATGCCACGTTGCGTGCCTGCCACAAGCCGTTTCTTCGTGCATGGTCTGGGAGGGGAAGTGCAGGTGCTCTAACTTGCTGGATGAACGCTTTCCGCTCATGGCGTCTGTCTCGTCGCCTTTCATCGTTCTCAAAAGCGCCAGAGCGCTAGGTCCATATAAGTGAGCCACTGGTTTTGGGCGTTTTATCATTGTTCTGCCGCCAGAGACGCCGACGCCTACCAATTAAGCGCGGGACCTGGTACCGCTTTGGGCCAGGTTATTGAAATCTAGATTGAGCGAGCTTGCTGCTCTGCTCCCCTCTAGCTGCAAATGTCTTTCGAAGTGTTTGCCTCCAATTTGATGGCTTTGACATCTGTAACATCCGGGCCATGAGGTTTCGGGGATGTGATCTGTCCAAGGACTGATATTTGTCGAGGATGTTCATCACATGGGTCAACGAACACCCCTGGGGTGGACGGTTTGCTCGCGCTGAGTGGAATGAGAGGGACGCCCCCGTTTCGCCAGGCCGGCCGCCGTAATTCGGCGCGCTGTGCTGCATCCCAGTGTCAATATGTCGTCGGACATCAACGAAACCTAGGACGCTGTCGCACTTCATGTGTGCCGTGGGCTGCATCAGATCCGTCCCAGAAATGACTTGAGCTCGTAGAATAGCTCACTCCAGTAGACGCAGCGGGATGGTTGTTGTCATTCAAATCGGCTCCAAATTCTTCGGATACATGTGATAGAGTCCAACGTCGGCTGCGAAGTGCATCCTGCACGCCGTCCGGAATTTTATGATGTCCAGCAGAAAATGGTCATGATCGATGCCTACTGACTGCGAACAGGCTTGTCCTCGTCAATGAGTACATAATGACGCCATCGTGATGAGACGAAATCCCACCAGCGTTGGACACGGACCGTGGACAAGGGACATGGGTCAGTACAGCTTCATCAGAGGCAGGTGAGATGCGCTCGAAAGTGCGCCTGACGTCATGGTTGGGAGGCAAGAGACCCGAAGGAGACTGTTTCGATGCTACGAAAGATAAGTAGTAGCCCGGCCGTTTCCCAATCCGCACAGGTACCGAAGCCCACGTAAGTCCGATATGTGATCTATTCTCATCTGGATGCTTCTGGGCCATGTGGTACTGATCATCCTTCCTCCTCCCCGAGATTTTTAAGGCGAGGCATTCAGGATCGTCGGGACACCGAACGGGTACTGTGGTGCGCTTCCGGTATACTTGAATCTGCGATGGGGGACCAATGACCTGCACAGAGCATTGTGTACGCCTGCCTATCCGGGGAGCAAGAAGAGAGAAGATCTAGCCAAGTGACGTACTCGTATGGAGCTGTCAGAGTACCAGGCTGCCCGTCGTAGATCCGTGATTGTATGGAAGGCTGTCATGGACGCCGATGACGACTGTATACGACATTCAAGGTCTACTAGGGTTGTGTCGGTGGTGAGATTAGAACAGCTGCTTCGCGGGACGTCATTGGCAGATAATCAAGCCTGCATGCCATCTCTGCACCCAACGAGGACGACACTGCAGCTGGCCTCCGGATGGTTTCCTTGCTTCCATTCGTAGTAGCGAGTGGCCAAAGCTAGTGACTAGACGCGGTAAATCATATGGATCCTCAACTGCCAGGCGGTGTGCTGAGAAACTGACGCGTGCCAATATCGGAATAGGGATTATACTCTTTGAGTACCCGCGCACTCTTCAGCAAGACCTGGAGCATACTGTACATCCCTCTTCCAGATATATGTCGTGCGTAGTAGTCATGCGAAAATGATGCTCTATTATAATCTTCGTCTATTCTGCAGCGCTGTTGAAATCATGGATGCTATTTTGAAATACTTCCGTTAGCGCTTGAGTAACGATCTTGGGTGTCGGAGTCAACGTCGCGGTCAGTCCCTCGTCTAGTGATGCTGATCGCAATTCAAGCGCCACCGCCACTGCTACAGCAGCCTATTGACGCACCATATTGATACATACGAGGAAACTGCGATCGTGACAGGGCGACAGTAGTTGATCAAGTGGTATGATTCATTCGCCTTCAAGTTCCCTGAAACCGCACCTTTCCAAATCCAGTCGGCTGTCAAGCAGTGTGTTGACGGCATATTTCAATAGCACCACGATAATCACTGCTTCTGCCATAGAATAATGCTCATCCCTGATACGCCAGTACAGATGTTTGCATACGTGTGCGATATTTGGATTTAGAAGACATTTGGTGGCGCGAGATCAGACGCCGGTCATCAGATCTCTTGTGGTGAGTGGTCTCGTATATCATCTGGTCAGCTCACATGAAAACAACCGAAGTCAATAAGGCACATGCTGGGTATAGCATAGTTCGTTGTGTTGTCGTGATGGTGAAAGAGAACACATACAGGAGATCCTAGGAATGGGGGATGATTTCAGGCGCTGCAAGATGATGGTATTGTTCTGCTAGAGATATCGAGCTTGTATCACTCGCGCCCGATATCTTCCGTAATGCCTGGCTTTTTCTTCGTCATGGCTTTCCGGCAGACCACTAGGAACGATATTGGGGAGAATGTCTCGCCCCAAGACGGGCCATACCGCTCGCCCTCGCCGTGGTACAACCATGTTTGTTCTCTGGCTCTTTCAGCCTAGCGGCATAGAGCCTCGTGCTATTGAATTGAGTCTTCTGTCGCAATTCTCCGGTGCTTCGTGCGCTCAAGGTATTCTCCGTCCCTATCATGGCCTTCACGTGTGGGCGGGCTGCGGAGGGCCGTCAGTGCCCGGGACAGGGTTCGCAGCCGGTCTCCTACAGTACCCCTGTGGGAGCATCTCCTAGGATATTCGGAGCTCTTCCGTATTCGGTGTCACGTGGAATGCCATATTGAAGCCATCTGGTTGACGGAGGCCGCGAATCAGCGACAAGGGTGTCTCGCCATTCGAGCTGTCTGCGGACGATCTGCAGTTACCCGGACAACTTAAACTGAGCAGCGTTCATGAAGCACTGCCGACATTGACACCGTTTCTCATCACAGAAAGCAGGTGAACCCAATTCTCGATGCACCGCAGAATGCTGTACTGGTGCTAGAGGACCCGGAGTGGCGCTACTTCATACCGCGGAGAATGTAGACACGGTGTGCCAAAGGTGAAGTGATGAGAGAGCACGCAGCAATCGGATCCAGCATCCGACATAGGTTGAGTCGACCGTCGCTCGTTGCTAGTTCAAAGGGCTTTTGGGGTGAGTTCCTTATCGGCCTCAACATGTTTCGTGGTGGACGCGCCTTGGCCCACTGTGGAAATGGGACCCTGAGCGAAGCTCCTCGGCGCGTGTCGCCCGGCTCGAAGTCATCGAGAACAAACCACATATTTCTGCCTGGCGCTGAGATGGAGCATCGATTCCGCGGAATGGCTGCAGCATGCCACTATTCTCCGCTCCGCGTGATATAAGCTTCCCATAGACGGTTTTGACATGGCGGTGTTCTCTGGTTTATGACCCTTAGGGTGCACTACGGTCATCTGAAGACAGGGGGCCAGTCGAACTTGACCACATATCATAGAGACACGCAGTGTGATGTTCTGCAGATGAGACCGAAATGAAGTACGACATCGCATGCGCCCACAGCTTATGAACATTTTCAGATCTTGAGATCATGAAGCGCGGCGTTTACATATAAAGGCCCACGTCGCTCCGCTCATACGGCATGCACCGCTGGACGCTTGAGTGGTTCTCGGAGACCAAATGACACGACCCAACTACGGCATTGCTGATCACAAGATGTGGCAGGTGGCCAGGCCTGCCGCGCCGAGAGTGCGAGAGCAGTCGCAAACTGAAGGCTTCTGGGAAGCAGAAACGCCTTCGTGGCGTTCAAGTCCTCAACATGTACCGCAGCGGCACGCCAGCCCGAGTGCAACGTAGGTATGTGCGTTGTCAGGTTAGCGAAGCGAACGCAGTGGTCGATGCCGTGAGTACAAAGATGTAGTCGGAGTATGATTCTCCCGCATGTTATCCGTGAGTCCCGGGGTTGCATCCGACGAACGGCTGATACGGTCCGCAGAGCACCACATCGCAAGACTATGAAGTCCGCGAACATTGTCCCCTAGATTATGCTTGGGAAACAGGGTCGCAACCCAAGATAGAGCCCGATGATGGCACGTACCGGGGAGTACTGGCCCGTAACGTCTCTGAGATACCGGACTCCAACGCGTGTTGATGCGCATGTGGGACCTACAGCAATCCGACCCGAACACGTTCCTTCAATGCATAGTGCACAAGGGACTTTTGAGCTCCGGGCAGACTACGATAGCAAGTCAATCGTGAGCAGTGATCTGGGGTGGGAAAGACTCTTTCTCATCGTCATTCGACGGTCCGCCGGGTATGCATGCTGCTGGAACTGGGCCTCGAAACATTGTGAGCACGTTGGTCGTGGGTGGGCACGCTAAGTGTCCTTGAGTTGAGAGATTGCGCGTGCTTCGTGTTGACGGCCTGCGCCGAACATTGACACGTTGAGGTATCAGAAGTTTACATGGCGTAGCCGCGCAGTCCCCTCGCAATAGTGGTAAGCACCGACGCATGCTAACCCTCAACCAGGCGCGCACCGCCCTTGTCGACCGTGAGACGGATTCGATCCCCCTTGTCCACGTCCTTAAACTAGTTGCCAGGAGACGGGTTAGTATGTGCGATAGAGAGTACTACGCCCTACGCCCCGCCTCGCGTATGAGGGTCGCTCAAGGCGTTTCGAAACGACGTACCGTGAGCTCCCGCGTGCGATGAAGAGACTCAATCTCGTCCACTCTGTCTCGGACGCCCTCTAACAGCTCGTCGAATCCTTCTTCCGCGCAAACTTCCTCTGCGGCGTGCAGGATCAGCATCGAATCGGGAGCGACATCGTGATGGATCTGCGGACACGCCAACGGGGTGAGCAACAGTACACAACGTGTATTGTATCTGGTGGAGCTGGACTCACGTCGATAGCGATTATGTTCTTGCGATCGAGTTCTGTAGGGCATTGCTCAATCTGGAAAGTACGAATCGACCAGGGGAATGTCGCGCGTACCGTCCATGAAGTCTGCGCGAGTCATTATTTGCCGCGCCTTGTACTGAAGGGAGAAACAAGGACGTCAGCACTGGAACATGTATAGTCGCGACAAGCACTAACGTAGGAAATCCGTGGAAGTGCGAGGTTGTTCAAGTCTTCCGGTTCCGCTTCGCCTCTCTTGATCTCCTCTACCTTGGCCGCAACGTCTTCTCTCCGTCTCTTGACAAACTCCCTCAGCAGTAGCCACGAGCATGACGACCACTTCTGCTCGTCCATCACGTCGTCGTCGCAATCCGGGATGAGGCCGATCTGAGACAGCAGCCATGCTTTCTCGACAGCCAGCATGTGCTTCGCTTGCTTCACCATGTCCGCCGCTTTCGTCACCTTGCCGAGGTAAGTCAGACGTCCGCCGACGATCCCGACAGCTTCCTCAAACGCCTCGTGAGGTGCGCGCGCGCGATGGGCATTGCGACGCATTCTCACTGCTGCCGTGACCGACTCTTTCCTGGACAGGTCGTATACGGAGACGACCTGTGGTGAGGTAAGACAAGGACGAAGCACAGTAAGCCGATGGGGTGGCTCACGTGCATCCTACTAGCGTTGTTCCCTATAATTGAAGGTGAGACCCAGCTACAGTGACAACCAGAGATGCTTACGCATCACGAAGAAAGGCCAGAAGTCATCCCTTCAAAGCACAAATAGGGGGCGTCAGTTGATTGCGTATTGATCACATCGTACAAGTGACACCTACGAGCTGAACACCATCGTGAGGATACCTGTTGTGCAGAGAAGTCAACGGCGAAAGTAGTTACTAGATGGAAGCCCAACTGACGTACCGCTGGCAGCCCAAGCTTCGGCGCGCTGCTGGAGCTGTAGAAGCATGTTCCTGCCAGCGTCATCATGGTTGAAATAGTGGACATTATTGAGAATCAAGATGAGGGGCTTCCCTGTTGCCCTTGCATGGCGAAGGGCAACCTTCTCGAGCTTGTTCATTGCTGCGCACGATGATAAGTCCTTGCGTCGTTGCACGGGATCGCGCTTATCGTAAGCTGTGCTCACCGCGCTCAATATCGAGAGAGGGACCAGCCTCGCGTGGGTCACGTCTCTGGAAAAGGCCTGTCTGCGTGTCTTCGTTATATTCGTAGTTCAGCGCCTTGCCGAGTCGCAAACGGAAGACTTCCAAGTCCGGATGTGCGTCGCACATCGCCACGCCCTCAGCTTCGATGGCCCGCATGGCGTCCAGGATCATGGTTGTCTTCCCTGTTCCCTATGAGTCCGCACATGCGAAATCAGCGCCACACAGCATATGCAACAATTTTGATGACAACTAGGCGTACTTTGGGACCAAGAAGGATATAGTAATGGCCGACCTCCTCGCCTTTCACGATACGATCTATTAGATCCTGCTCGGTGCGCCGTAGGTGCTGTGTCCAGGGCTCGTCCAGGTCCCATCCAAGTCCGTCTTCTTCGAAAACCTCAGGTTGGGTGGGCCTCCGTACTGGATGCTGCGCAAGCTCGAGGGCAGGATCATATCCTCCGGCGAACGCCTTTTCTATCTGTGGAAATTGCAAGTAAGCCGAAGGGAACGGCCCTGATGTGCATGGAGTACCTTCCAGAGAACATTCTCCTTATACCAAGCCATGTAGACGATGCCTCCTGCAAACACTTCAGGAAGCGTCAGCGAGTCACAACTATCACATAGATATTGTGTAAAGTGCAGAAGCTCGTGCGCAAAAGCTCGTGAACGATCCGCGTTCAATAATATGCCTGTTCATTTCAGAGATGGACACGAGTCTACACGCGAGTAATCCAGTTACTCCGCTCTCTCCCCCTTTCGCAACCGTCGCAACCATATGCTCCACGACGACGTGCTCAAGGAATGCTTGTAAAAGCCAAAACAGGCGTTCCAGTGACCTCTGAACATCCAAGTAGCTTGCATCATAGAAAGGTGGGTTACTCACGGACAGCTACACCGAAGACAGTCGTGAGGACGGCATCCTTGAGGCCGCTTCCTCCGCCGCCTCCGTATCCCCCCCATCCGAAAGCAGGACCGACAGGCGAAGACGGAAGCTCGCCAGATACTGCCTCAGCTTGTCTTTTGTGTTGTAGTATTTCTTCTGGAGTGTCCTGGCGTTGCCGTTGGGGATGATTCGTCAGGCACCTACATGAGCGAACGACCCGATGACGCCACGCGGCAGTACGGGCGCTTCTGAGCATCGCCGAACCGGAGGGAGCTGTAAGGGAAGATAACAGTCGGAGCATCCTGTACGAAGGCTTAGCTGCTCATGAAGTACTCCAAAGGGCGATTTGGTACAGTGAAGACAGTGAAAAATGAGATGAGGGAGCGAACAAGTCATGTTTTACATTTGACTGCGACCAGTGCGCCAAGAGCAACTCGCACTGCCACACTACGACCAAATACGGGATATCAAGCGCCCCTACTCCGATAAGTACTTACATACTATATGATTACTAGTACATCCGGCGTGCGATCATTGCGATTCCCCGTGAATCAGTGGGGTCTCCATCTTTCTTTACTGCAACAAAGGGCTCTGGCCACCTCGACACTCCACCGTTGATGTCCTTTTGTGTTCTGCACCTCCAGACTTCAAGGTGACGACGCTCTCACAAGTGATTCCCCCAGTTGCAAAGCCACTTGGAGCAACAGGTGACCCAGCTATGACAACAGTAGGATGACATCTACTACAAAGGTGCCGGACAGGTTGCTCAAATGCTGAACCATATAGTATCTTTCGTTAGACAGTTTTCCGGCTACGCTCCTTGTCAACGCTCGCTTCGTCAGGGTTGCCTACGCAACCAGCCGAGTAACAATACTTGTCTGCTCAACAACGGTATGTTCATGTTTCCGACCATCCTCTTTTGTCAACACTTGTTCATCTCCATTACAAGCTGCAAGACAACTCTTCAAGAGCGTTCCCGAAAATACTGTACCGCCCGTCGCTTGCCTGTCGAACAAGTCCCCTGTAGGTTCTCATGCCATTGTGCATTGCGTCGCTATGCTGCCCTGTGCCACTCTACATTTGCTTCATAAGTTGCAGGATGCCTCTCCGTTCTACTGGGGTCAACCAAGCGTCAGTAACATTGCTCCTAGTTCTCTACTCCATCGCTCGACATGGCCTATCGGGTTCACCAGGGCGCATCCGGCAATCCATTCTCTGATGCAGCCGCCATCCACTCCGATATGTCTTCACAGAGTCATTACAGTGGACGAGGTACGGTGAGTCATGCAACATGAGCACAGTTCTAAGGTGTACGCAACTGAACCTCTCTACGATCACAGAGCCATGATCCGTATTTCGGCCATAGAGATCTCGCCAAGATATGCTCGCACTTTATCAAGCACCTGTTCCGGTGTCCTGATGTTTCTCATGTTACCGGTTCTCCTTTCGACGATCCAGCCATCCCTCTGGCGCAGTTCATAGCACACGCTATCCATTCCTCTAAGGCGGACACGTCCACAGTCTTCTCCGCCCTCTATCTTTTGCAACGCTTGAAGGGACGCTACCCTATGTCTTGGGGCGGCAATGGCATGTCCGGACAGCGTCTCTTCCTTTCGGCCCTCATAGTCGCATCCCGTTCATCCCGGGGTCCCCCCAACAGATCCTGGGTGGATGTTGGCCAAGGCTTGTTCCACCATCAGACCGTCGAAGGCATAGAACGGAATCTGCTCGAATTCCTCGAATATCGTGTGGACATCGAACCGTACGCTCTGAAGGAATTTGAGCGCCTGGTACGCAAGGACTTCCGAGGACAAGGTCCTTATCCCAATTACCTCGACACGGCTTCTACCTCATTCTCTGCACGACCTCAGCGGCGTGATACGAGTGTTCCTCCTCCCATATCCGTTCACCAGGGCGTTCCTGCCTTGTCCAGGTCGCCCTCGAATACACCTGTGACTAGGGCGCCGGTGACGCCTGGTATACATTCTCCCTCTGCCCCTGTAGCCATGACGGCCTACGGACAGAAGATGCATCGGCCTTCGGCAGTGCCGCTCCCTGGTGTCCCCTATGCAAGAGCCTCGGGATACTTGTGGTAGACATAGCTCCTTGTTCGCACCGTCATACAACACCCATCCCTCGGCTCGCTACATCTTCCTCTGCTCTTCATAGCTGGTATCGCTTATATAATGATGACCTCCAGTGCCATCAGTCTTCTCATAGTCTCTCTTTTCATGACGCTCTTACTTCTCCCTATCTCGACTTATACTGTTACAACAACCACACGCTCCTTTACTCCTTATTGCCTCTCTATCTGCCGCGTTGTATCCTCACGCTCCTTGCCAATGCCCGGACAATCTTTTACTTAACGTCTCGCCCTGTATACTTGCGTGCCGCGGTCGTTCTCCGCACTACCACCTTCTATTATCATGATGTGTCGGAGTACCGGTCAGATCGGCGGCTTACTCCTAGAAGCTTATGTGCCTTTCACGCCGCGTTCGCGGAACTTGTGACTCTTTCAGTCTGCGATCGACAGCTGCATGCATGTCTCGCATGCTGTTCGATCTTCTCAAATGACACACGCTCAATGGGTTACAAGTACACGCTATGCAAAGGGAAGAGACCTCTGGAGCGTCTGAAATGAAAGAATGTAAAGGCCATGAGGCACGCCTTCGAAGTCACCTACCAATTTGGGCGTTGAGTTTGTTTGAGCCGACTTCGGTTGTGCTGAGCTCACACAATACGTCCATACGGTTATCACGGTTATTGTACTTGCGTACAACGACCCATTGTTGTAGATTACATTGCGTGTCGCATAGCGCCGTGAGCGTAGCAGTGTTGTGTATGAGTCCTATCGACACGCACCCAATGTATGAATAGATATACACGCAGCAGCTCCTCGTGTACACAGTACAGCAATGGTGATGCCCGTGTTATCTTCGGCTTATCCAGCATGGAAGAAGCTGGCATACGTGAACTGAAGCCGGTCGCAATACGGCGGTAGGGCGGGTTAGAAACTCTCTTAGGGCCGGCACAGCTGAGTGGGTGTGATGCGCATGTTCTGCGAGCGGTGTGTTGCCGGGTGGCGAGTAATTCTTGAGCGCACCGGCCAGGTATCCGAGAGGCCACTTTTGACAGCGTCGATCAGAATGGCGAAGCTTCGCTGTTTGCAAGGAGAACGAAGGTAAGCTGTCCAGTAACTACTAGTGATTGTGTAGCGTCTGTGACAACGGGTTCAGACGCAAATGTCACCTCAGTTACACTATTACTCCAAAGTAGCTTGCTTGGTGTATGAACACATGGGAACGAAACTACTTAGCTTGAATGGACTGAATGAGTATGAACAGGTGACGGACCTTCGCTGCCAATGTGCGTCTTGCAACGTGGTGGCGCTGGTGAGACCGTAAACCTTGGAGTCTTCCCGGGATTGTGAGCGCGCCGCGCTCGATTAGCCCTCGGGCCCTACGCCCCTTCTCCTCGGAGTACACCTCTACCGATGTAGTTGCATGTTATGATTTCAGTGGATGATGGTAACAGATTGGAGGCGAGACCGCCAATGTATAGATTGCTAGGTCTGTAAGATAAACGTTTGAGTATGGAGGACTCCATCAGGGCAGGCGCGCAGCTAGTTGCTCTCTCCGCACGACCGCAATGTTGAGCCTCAATGAAAACAGCCCATCTCATAGTTTCTTAGCTAACCCAGCCGGCACCCCTCTCGCGCGGACATGAAAAAGTTGATCGCCGTTCTGTTTTCCGAGCATCGGACTCTCTTCCTCACTGCAATAGCTTTACACTCCGGCTCTGCGGCACCGATAATATAGTGGGAGTGCGGTCAGTAGTGGGTAACACGTTGCGCAAGCCCCCAGCTAGGGCGGGAACTTCTCCCAGTCACCCTATCGCCTGGCCTTGGAGAAGAGATAGTGATAACACAGAAAAGGCAGTACGCTTCGCGCTCGTGCTGTGAAGAGGCACAGAAGTTGAACTTAAGTCCGATGTTCGCCCCTGAAGATTGCAGTCAACCCGTCTGACGCGCTCGAATGTGTTCCTGATGTGAACTGAGTTTTTAGCATTTAGGACCGCCGTGGCACGTTGAAGTACACGCCTTTCCATGTAGGGCCGCCGTTACGGCACATATTCATGAGATCCACCATCCCGCAGGGCGCAGCATGCTACTAGCAGGAGGTGTTCACATTCACGCGGCCCTGGAAACCTATGCTCATGCAACATGACGGGCATGAGGCTGACTTCGCCGAGATACTGCATCCGCGCGAAGAGACACTAGTATCGTGATGGTCCTCGGGATACGCGAGGACTTTGACAAGGCTGCCCCTCACAGTTCCGGGCACGAACACTAGCAAATGGTTCTCGTCCTCTCCGATTCGGAAGGAATATGTCGATATCCGAATAGCTTGGCAAGCAAGGCGACTTTAAGGCGACTCATCGTGACCTTTGCTTTTGACGAGTTAGGAAACACAGCATCGAGAACGGTACAATGCGTCGTCCAGTCGTGCAAATCATCAAGCGGGCTGACGTAGTACCACTATTCGAAACACCGCAGGACGTGGGCCAACATGGTAAACAGAGGCTTCAGATGCCCAGACCCACTTTACGAGAGGTCCATGGACCCAAGTGGTCCCGCACGCTTGCATTAGCGCCATAGATGCCGGATAGAGGAAAAGAAGTGTAGCGGTCTCCGCGTCCTGTCGGACGTCGTGGGCAAGCAGTCCTCGAAAGCGCCGCGTTCCTTCCTCTTCCCCCCACTATCGGCCACAATGCTGACGGTGTTGCTGTAAACAGTGCACAAACCCGGCGAACTCTTTCGAAGCCAGCGACAGATCTCGACAACGCTGCAAGGAGAAGTTGGGCGGAACGTCATACCGAAGCTTCTCTTTGCAGACCGCGAGCTAGGTAGCCTACACCCACCCTCGGAAGGTAGCCCTCCGAACGATGGATGCATGCCAAATGGACGAGGAGCGTCCCCTGTCGAGGTACGCACTCACCACTGAACGACCCTGCAGAGCTCATCCAATTTGAGAAGACATCGGTACATGTCATTGGCTATCCCTTATAGTTGGAGGGCTCGTTTCTGATGGTCTCTGAGATATCAAGCGATTCTGACATACCAAGTATCAGCCACAATTATGGTGTGGTCGAAATTAGGCGACCCCGGGACGGAGCCGGTGCGTAGAGTCGTTCGTGACCCCGCCGCTCGTGTCGGGCGCTGCAGGACCGCCGCCGCCACAGTCCCCAGCACAGCGGGGTCTGAGCGTGCGCTCCGGTAGTGGGTCCGACATCTGATGATTGTCACTGAATGATGACGCAGGCAAAACTGACGTTTTTCAAAGAACGATCTGATCGACAGTATCGCGTGAGTGTTCTTGCGGTGATACAGGAACCACACGTATTTGAAAGTATCCGATGCTCACCCTACTAGAGTAGTGCCCGGCGTACTTGAGCTCATTTTCACCCGGGAGCCAAAGTACACGGCCCTTAAAGCACATGGATGACGCACCGATGATCAAGGATTCAAGTGCTTTGTTGAAGCATATTAGGCGACCTCCGGACGCGGGCATGACAGCCACAAACGACGGAAGTGTCTCCTTGATCAGAGTCACGTACATATTCGGAATGCAGGACCGCTAGACAGCGGGGGCAGGAACGTCGAAGCTCCGGTAAAACACCCAGGCATCGACGTACTCTTCACCTGACCCATCTGCCTTCTTTAGTCGTCCAGCGCGAGGGATGCGCCCAGCTTTTTCAAAGTTGAGAGCCTCCCATAGTCTGGCGCAGTGGATCCAGTCAGTCGAGTCGCAAAATGGGGACACTGAGCACGGAGACTGACTTGACGCTAGCGACGTTATTTACGTATACGAGGTTGAACACGCTAGCTTCGTAGCCTAAGCGTGGGCCATAGTGGAGAAACGACCGGGCAAGAACAGCGCCGACGCCGCGTCCGCGTTGGTTTGGTGGGACAAGGAATCCGGCGTTGCAGATCTGCGATGCGAAGAAGTAAGAATATTGTACCGAGTCTATCGTTCCAGAAGAAGACTGGGCGAGGGTCGTTGATTTTACCACAGACAGCACAGAACCGTAGAGGTTGGTCGGCACTTCAGCTCATGGACGTCCAGTGGCGGAGATAACCGCGCTGGCCATACACTTACGAGACATCGCCCTGTCTGTGGTCCTCGGACGTCGCGTCACGGATACACCCGATAGTAGACGATCGCCAGAGGAGAAATGCTCTAGAGAAGCTTTGGGTACCAAAGTACCTGGATAAAGCCGCATCGATGAACGACGACGATTTGCAGAGACGATCGTGCCAGCGAGTCCTATGAGTGGGCTGGAAGATAGCTCATCGCGCTCATGGGACGCATGATGGCTAGATAGGGACTTGGGGAAAACTCACATGCGATGACCTTCCAGGATAGTTGGGTTTCACCTGCAGCACCAAGGTTCAGCAACAGTTCTGGCATGACATGATCAGCGCACACTTCGGGTACGCTCTGGTCCTGGTCCCCTGTGGCATACGTTCGCGAGGCGGATGGCGGATCGTCACCCGAAGCGGACGCGTAGAAGGACAAGACTCACGTAGTAGCAACCCGCGATGCATTCTTCCCAGCCTCTTCCGCCAACCGCCTCAATGAACCCTATCGGGGATTCCGCCTCATCTTGCTGCAGCTGATCCCCTTCGCGCCCCAAGACCGCGATCAGGACATCTCCTGCGAAGTAGTAAGCGTCGAACAGAGCGCGGGTATACTCCTCCCCGGGAAGGATCTCCTGCGGATATGTTTGGCCGCGCTCGAGCTCGTCCGCAAAAGTCTTGTGGATGTAGTCTATGAGTCCTGAGAAAGCTTCAGCTCTTGCGAGGGTGAAATGGTGGACTGTGAGGGTTGATGGAGTATCAAAGCCTTTGGATTTGAATTGCCATATCGTGGTTGGCAGAGGAGACGAGTTCTTGTGTGCAGCGATGGCTCCGTAGGCTGACATGTCTGGGCGCTCGGTATCGCATTTAGACTTGGACTGCGATGACCACTCGCTTAGCCGAGAACACCTGGATCGCTACTCACCTTAGAATCCGATCTGACCTATCCGGAATGGCTTGGGACTCCCGACAAGCAACTGGTGATGATGGGCTTCCGACCTTGACTTAGCATGACCTGTGGTGACATCCGCGATCGAGTCATATGGTCACGTTCAACTTCTATGTAGGCTTTTCTCCCTTCGCTGGGACCCTCCGATAACCCGACTCTACCGTGTAGCCCTCCAACCTGAGCAGCGGAGGCCGAACTTCAGAAAACTGGATGCGCTCCCTCGAAGATCGTGACTCTGAGGTCAGCTTCATTTCCGCGCATGTTGACAGCTTCTAGCGGGCAGTCTCTGGAACTCCCCACGGTGGATAAAAAGGTTGTCTCTGACTTCCATGCGGCCTCGCTAGCCACGGGTTCGAGTTTCGAGACATCAGTCATTGTGTGGGCTTATGATGTTCCAGGGTGTCACGATACGGAGGAAAGCTCTAGAGATTACACGATACATATGAATAAAATACACGGGGTTACGATGCAACAAAGGTATGGCAGTCCGAGCTGCAGCCCTGAGGGGCAATCATGAGGTACGTCGTTCATCAAATGCGCGTACGTTGCAGGCCAGTCCGTCTACGATGCATGCACATACGAGGAGGATAGCGATGACCACACCATCATAGAAGACTGGAGAAGACTACGACAGCGACAACGGCACCCGAGGAGACCGTCAGAGAGCGCGACGCGTCAGACGTGGATGCGGCATCGACAGCATTAGTGGAGTTTGCCTGCAGAACCTGGTGAGTACGGGCCGAGTTGTATGTGTGATCGATGGACGCTAACTTACCCCCTTGCAGCCTCCTGGTCCTGAACATGCGACGTTGTTGTTCGCGGCGATGATATTCGCCTGTTGCGAGTCAATCGGTGATGCGGCGACTGTTTCCATCCGCTGAGCGCTGCTCTATCGTCTCAAATGATTGGAGGGACATACCGAGAGTGGACACAGCAAAGAAAAAGAGCGTGAGCGCGCGTGCGTACATGATAGAGATTAGCGTGACGGGTGGGTGTTTATATAGGGAGGAGCCTGAGGTACAGAAGTCGCTTGCAGACGGCCGGTATGAGATGAGAGGCGTTTTGCAGGGGGGAAAGGTCGATCAACGAGTAAAGAGTAAGTTACCGACCCATCGCCCTCTTATACTCGGCTCCCCTCGCCGTCGCCGCTTGCATCGTACTGAACAGTCCCCTCGTACTTAGCCGACGAGAACATCGCTGAGGACTCAAAGGGATTGCCGCTTTTGGATGAATGTTTCGAGGTTCATGAACACGTGGATATCTAGCGCTTGAGGGCAAACGCCTGAGCTAGTGCCATTCGTGGAAGGAAGGGCGGAGAGCGCGGCGGTGGTAGCTCTGAGAGGGCGTACTACAAGGCAAGCAATAGAAGAGACGACTTAGGGTAAGGCTCTGGCTGTGCATGAGCGAGGAATGGCGTGTTCAAAGAACCTAGTAGGATACAAGGCGCGTCTTTGTCGTTCCGATGTGCAAGTTCTCGCATCGCTGGACCCTTCAATCGCAGGTTCTCAGCTCTTGAGTCTCACGCCCTCACAAACGTAATGCCTATGTATAAGAGGTACCGGTGTCTCTATGATGCCATGTTGGAACATGACGAGCCCCATGCAGGTGGTCTTCACTAGATTAATAGTGTTAGGGTTGATTAACGTTGATTGGTGAGCCTTAGATACATGATATTTATGGATCAGAGGCGTTGCAGCTACAGAGAAACAGTGGGCTACGCCGTGTTTGGGCTAATGGTGTAAGATCCTGGAGAAGTCACTGCTCCTAGCTGCGGCCTTCCGTTTCTCTGGCCTCCTAGGTCCGTGTCACTATCATATCGCTTCCGTGTTGTGAAGAGACTTCATGCGATGACGATAGCCTTCCTCTCCAAACCCCTGTACACTCTACCTGACGGCGCTTGGTGCTAGACTCACCAGCCTCACGCACAGGATCGAGTCCAAGGGGTCCGCTCACCCCAACGCTGAGGCGAGGAACCCAGGATGAGGGCATGTCATCGCCCCATGGAAGGTCGACAAAGGTGCCGTGGACATGCGATTGGCTCGCACGCGGCAGGTTCAGACGGGGGAGGATCGCGCTGGCTTAGTCTGGGGAATCCTTGGTTTGAGGCTCTCGAGGTTCCGCAGCGGCTGATAGACGATTCGGACGGGCGTATCAAACCAAAGTGCGTCAGTCATTACTCCCTTTGCTTAGCTACTAAAAGCTTACTTTGACTAGCTTCTGAAGCTCTCCCCGCTTAATAGTCTCCAGACGAATTTCCAGTGCAGTTAGCTACACATATCCTAAGAGGAGTATGACGGATAGCTATGGTCTTGTCTAGGATGACCTAGGCTGAGAACAGGGCAGTTCTGAGCTCAAGGTTCTCCACTTGAGAAGGAAAATGCTCAAGCAGCATCTCGTACCATGTCATGGTCCGCGTGCGTGCAAAAATAGTGCCTCAAAAGTGGACTATCGAAGCAGCGAGAAGCTGGACGAAGTGAGCGCTTCCCTCAAGGAGGGGCAACTCCAAGTCCTAGCTAGACCGTTGTAGCCTCTACGAGCTGGATGCATTCGTCTGGGGGATACTATCAGCCTAGATTGACCAAAGATGATGAGCTGCGAACCATTTGGAGAAAGCGCCACGGAGAAGCTTCACGCTCATGCACATGAGCACCATGTGCATTTGTACCAGAGTGGCAGAGCTAAAGTACGCAACACACAGCCTTTAGCTGGAGGCCACGTGTTTCTTCTGCACCTTAACCCCTTTCGACACACAACCAAAAGGCTGCTAGGGTCGGCTGACAAACAGAGACCAATATTCGTGCGCGGTGATGGAGAGACAGATTGCGATCAGGTATACATACCTGTTCAAGATGACTGTGGCGAGCGCAAGGGTTGGCAGGGAGCAAGCGAGTACTTGGAGCAGGCCTGGACATGTCCGAGTCAGACGCGTCGAGAAGGACTCGGATATTGACGAGCTCTGGGATGCACTAGCCCTCTTATACTAGGTCAACGAGTGCCAGCAAGCAAGCACCATTGTACACTAAAATAAAGAGGTCTCCATAGTCATAGAAAGCGGTATTGTTGCTTGAAGCTAAAGCCATTTAGCGTGGCTGACGGTTCTTGTGCAAGCTGAATGAACGCGACGCGACGCGTTTGTTCGCTGATGTCACGTGCTCCGGCTTGGTGACCAAGGCCCTTTGAATCGCGCTGTTGCTTTTGATCGACTCCTCCGTTATACACATCATCAAAACCTTCCGCCATACTCAACCGCTGGATGGCTCTGGGCTCGCTGTCGAGGGATCTTAGCGCGCCGCCTTTCGTGATGGATGACGGTATTTTCAAGGCTTGGACAAACAGATCGAGACATTGGCTTTTCTGGAAGAATCTCCTACGTCTTTGGCTTCCTTATGTCACTTTCTGTGCTTTGTACGATGAGTACCACAGGACGCTCGCATCATGTGGGTCTGACGCGAGGAAAGGCAGGGTACAACGAGGTTGTAGGTGGACTTCAGTACGTCATCGTCTCAGTTCCTCTGCACATAAACTCTTGCGCTCAGTCGCCCGGGAACGGGAATGTTGGTTTGCCCGCGTGGCCGGCCACGACTACGGCTAGAATCGTAGTCGTGGCCTGCTATGATGGAGGCTATAAAGAAAGCCCATACGATGAAGAGCGCGCGATCGCCTTCGACGTGCAAAGTCGGTCTCCTTTGACGCATGGTGGAGACCACAGACGCAATGGTAACCAGCAATCGCTCATAAACCATATATTTGATTTGGATCTCGAGGTCGTAAGAGATTGCCGTAGGCCTTAAACGGAATGGGGGGCAATCATCATATGTGAAGCCACACTCCTCTACAACTTATCGTTGTTCTGGTGCAGCAATACAAGTCGACTTATCTGAGCCCGTGGACGACTTTGAATTGACAGGTGCTCCCGAGGACTGGCCGTTTGCTGCATCTGCGACACAATGTTGTGTGCTTGGAAGGGAGGCGAACTCCATTGCGACGGTTGGAAGTGGTGTGTTCAGGCGTCTGTGCTTGCTTCTGTTTTCCCTTCGGAGCGCGACGTCTGAGGTTCTCCAAGTACCCATTATTCCTGCCTCTCTCGCATGCCCTCCCTTTGAGACTCCTAAGAGAGTTCTTTCGGTCAATTTAAAAATCTCATCGGAGCGCTGCAACTGACGGGCGTCTTTCACCGGCGTTCCAACCCGAGAACTTCATCAGCAAAGGTGTATAAATCCCCTCCAGGATTGTCGGTGTGGCCTGAAGCGCAAGTTACGGTGCGGGGCCGCGCGCGCGCCTAATATAGGGGCTATCATTGCCTGTCTACGCGATACTCACAATACCGCGCGAGATGCGCACCAAAATTGCATGACCTCGCGGTCTTCATCACATATTGTATGACAATGTGTCGTCGCTCAATGGTGTACAGTAACTACTCTATCCACAAGACACTTCGGCGGAGGTAGTTGCATTGCAACAACCTGTTGTCGCCTCAAGCTTAGCATCAGCGAGGACTCGGACGGGGCCAACATTTTTTCCACTTCCGCACTTTGTCAGCATCGGTCCACTGCGCTGGAGAAAGTGCTCGATGATGCCGAGCCACCTCCAGAGATCTCCCAATGCGCCCAAGCATGCAAGAGACGGTAACAAAAGTTTCTGCTGAGAATGCTAAGAGCAGCCACTGAAGTACGTTACGAGATACCCAGGCCCCGGTATAAAGCTACCTGAATGGTTATCAGCTTCTCCCACTTCACCCACTCGTTGTTCTCCTGCAACATATCAATCTGGATCTTCTGGCTATCTGGAATGGACTTGGAGTTGAAGCAATCGAGGAGCGCTCGGACTATATAGCAGGACCTTTGGGAAAGAATAGAATGCGGCGTACTCAGTTTGGCGATTTTCACCGCGAGGACACAAGGGAGCACAACAGAGTGACGACCTCATCAACGTCCTGCTTTCACAAATATTTGGTATCAGATAGCAAGAGCCTCAGCCACAAGGAAGTACGCACTTCTGGTCCTGGTACAACTCTCCGAGCTTCACCAGGACGGTTTCCTAGTGGCAGAGCTCAGCCCTCTTTTCCTCTACAGAGGCATGACCGCTGATTGACGATGTCGGTATCGGTATCGCGTAGTTGGTCCCAAGCCGACGGCATGCAATGGATCTGTCAGAGCTCACCTAGGATTTCCTTGATTGTGCCTGGTTCAGCAGTTCCTCCTTCGTCGGCATAGTGTTGCTTGAGCGGTGTAGAGAGGCTCAGTGGACGGGAGGCACGCGAGGTGACGCGTCAAGAGTAAGGCACGTGGCGTGCTCCAGCCCTCTTCGATCTGTATAAGTATATGCGTGCGAGAGTAGTCAAAGTATACGTACTTGTTTGAACCAGTCCTCCGTAAATGCCAGCTGCAATTCCATTTCCGCTCTCCGTAGAACTGGCGACCTGAGGGCCTCCTCCCTGCTAAGCCCGTTGTTCTTCGTAAGTTGCTAGAGGTGCTTGACAGACTGGTCGCACAAGTAAGCTGCAGGTTGTGGCGGTCAGTCCTAGCACATGTCAGTACTAGCAATAATTATGAGGGGGCGAGCGATGACCAGGATGCAGGATGAGACAGACGGACCACGGTGATCATTATGATGCGCGCCATGAGCGGGCACGTGACTGACGTGTTTCTCTTTCACATAGACACCTCGGCAGCGATGGACTCGCCCCACTAGGAGCTCTACCGTGTCCTCCTCATCTTTTGACAGGCCTTGAACTCAGAAGGAACTCCGACGCTGCAACATATAAAGATCCGCATTCCTTGAGAAACTTCAAGCTGCCCCCTTTTCCTGCCCCATACCCTCCGCCACCAGACCGATTCTGCTGCCAGCCAGAGACCGTCGATCAATCCATCTCCATCATGTCAGTCATCACGTAAATACACAGGTGCGGTATATGACTTCCACTATACACGCATATATGCGTATTCCTACTCCCTTGACGTCATTGCAGGCTCTTCCTTGTCTTATCAGGTGTGTCTCCATCGTATGTACACCTCACGCACCACCTTCTTGCTGATTCTGTGTCCCAATTCGGAATAGGAAGCACTGACTCGCTACACAGGAGAACACCAGGCTCGTCTGGGATGAGACCACCAAGGTGCTCGACAACGTGTTCCAGAACGTGTGGGGTGACAGGGACGCCGTCAAGCTCGACAACATCATGGACCTCACCGTGCCAGTGAGTCCCGTCCCGTCCAGCGCTGTAGTGCTACTCCCATCCTTGCCGCTACTGAGCTCAGGTTTGCCCGCCACCGTCCATCCTTGTCCAGGTCACACTCCTGGTCATCGGTATTGCAGGATTTGGGCGCCGGATGTCCTGGAGCGAGAACCAAGATGTCCTCCTCGGACATTCATTGACTTTCAAGGTCTGTCTGTCTTCCTGTGTCTGTCTCCCTTGGGGACACCGCAGGATATGGGCTTTTGTGTAGACGTGAGCCTGACGCTGCCCGCGCAGGACACGATGTACAAAGTCTCGCACCACCTTGTCCTGAAGGTCCTGTTCCCGGGTGGGGCACTCCCGTCATGCTGCGCTTCGCGACCGCGCATGACGAGCTCATGGTACGTCCATCCGTGCACATGGCTGTATAATATATGTGCGCAGTCGAGTCGGCGTCGGCTCACTTCAGGTTGCTTGGCCGCTGTCCGCTTTGAGCGGCAACAACACCTTTAGGCGTACTTGCACGAGATGGTGACCACGCGGCAGGCCAAGGAGGAGCGCTTCGACCTGATGAGCAACCTGCTCGACGCGAATGAGGACGGGACGGACAGCATGGCGAAGCTGTTGGATAGCGCGCTGACTGGTACAGCACCGCTCGTCTTGATGCATATGTGCATGTTGACAGACATCACCACTCTCTTTTTTGTGTAGAGAACGTCTTCCTCTTCTCGGTGGCTGGGTATGAGGTATGACAGCGCGGACGCATGCGCAACGGACATGGTGCACTCATGCATGTAACGTACCACCAGACTATGGCACACAACTCGCCTTCGTGTTCATCCTGCTGGCGCACTAGCAAGACGAGCAGGAAGTGTTCTGCCAGAACTGCCAGTCCGTCCTCCCTGCAAACCGGGTGCAGGTACGTCTCTTCCGTCTTGGCGTCACAGTAGCTATTGGCTCGCTGCGTCTCACCATCTGTCCCATGCTCAGACATACGAGGACTTCATTCGTACTCCCTCGCGTGCATCTCCCCTGTCATCCATCCCCTCCTACCTACTAATGTAAATCCTCGCCCCGCACAGCGTGATAAACGAGATCATCTGGCTCTTACCCACGTCATGTGTGCAGCTGTACATATGTTTGTGCAATGTAGCATATATAGATGTCCTGTAGTAGCACATTGTACCAGGCTTGTCGCCAAATATATTTGCAGTCTCGTTGTACCTGCGATACTAGCCTGAGTGAACCTGATACCGGAAATGCGAGGCAATCTCGCCCATAGCTCACAACATGCGCCCCTTGTTGCGCGGTACAGCCCGGCATTTTAGCAATTACCCCCTCGTGCCATATCCACAATACCGGGCCACAAATCTAAATGTGGCACGTCATTGCCGTCATCGCAAGCCACCGTCATACCCAAAATACCAGGCAATCTCCAGGAGATCACGGCAGGATTGCCAGGTATTTTCAGGTATTGCGGGGTCGCGCGGGCGGTCCGGGTTTCTTGCGCTAGCATGGAATCGTGACAAGGTGCGCCCAATATACGTGAGTTCGGGTGCTGTATTTCTAGTATTCCCTGCCCCCACGCGTGAATGCAATTTGCAACAAGATTTATACACTTTTGCTGATGTTTGTACGACAGCTCCTCCGAACCACCTTCTCCGTTTCGGTAGGGTTCCCGATCTTCGAGGACCACGTTCCTCATCCGGTACGGCCCTTGGAGGATCATGAGGCTCGCGTTCATGAATGAATGACGGTGGTCCCACCCTTGGTTGAAGTTCACGGTGTCGCCACCTGCGACCATTGGAAGGTTCTAATCTCATCCGGGCCAATGGAAGTCGTCCGTTCTCTGCCTCGTTGCAGTTCTGTGGGCCACATCGCACGCGGGAGAACCCGCGCTTGCAGACGGGGCATGTCTGTGTGCGCTTGCAGGCGGCGCATGTCCATGGACATGCCGTATTTTGACAGTCTCATACTCTGATATGCGCTCTCCTGCCGGTCGGGACTGCCATATTCGGACGAAATGGACAGCACCCATGCCTCAAGAAGAATGCGTTCCATTACGCACGCCCGGCGACTTCGACTTCCAGGACGCGTATTATTGGGTACCTGTGCCGCTCGAGAGCCAATGGAACATCCTGTCCCCGCCAAAGTTTGAACTCTGCCTCACCTACAGTACATTACCCCGCCGCCCCGGATACTGGGACAACGGCTTACTCGCGTCATGTCATCTCTCCCTTCCATTGACGATACGCTCGGTGCCGTCTTTATCGGCACTTACATCTCTCTCGTGTAAGCCTTCTCAAACCGCCTTTATGTCCTGCTCTGACGTTCTCGTGTAGGCTGTATGGACTGGCATTGCATCAGGCGTATCTGTACTATGTCAACTACCCCTACGATAAGCGATGGCTGAAAATTTATGTGAGTGTAGTCCTCAAGAAAGCACCATGGGTCAATACTCGCACTGACAGTTCCCACCAACAGGTCGGGATTGTCCTGTGGGTTTTCCCGTTCTGATCCACTGATCTCGACATTCTGATGTGCTAGAATTGCAGAGTGCTGGAACTAGTATGCACTGTGCTCACCTGCCATATGTGGTCAGTCTCCGTCTTTATTCTCCATTGGAAACCGAGTGACTCACCGATCGATGTGCTGCCGTACAGCTACTACTATGGGGTCTCAAACTACGCAGATCCAACCAGCTTGGGGTATATCGTATGGTACGTGGCAGTGTCTTCTCGTTGTTCCATGGCGTATCTAACGGGTGCATAGGTCAACAGTAGTACTAGCCATCGTCGGCGTAAGTCGTTACGGCTCTAGTTCCTCATATATACTGAAGACTCCCGGGTAGGCCCTCATGGTTGTATTCACACAATGGTGAGTAGTGGTCATTCCCCGCGCATCGTATACCCATTTTCATGTGTCGCGGTTCTAGCTTCTTTTTGCATCGTGTCTGGCTGAGTTAGTCTGCGTGCTATCAAACTTGTCACGCTTTTCGCTGAGAATCTTTCAGTTGGGCGCCAGTATAGGCCCGTCGCCGTGATCGCGGTAAGTTGCTTACGAACCTATCGGTTGAACAGAGGCAGCAGAGCTGAGTCGAATTAGTTCATGTTCATGATGCTGGAGTTGAGCGTGTGCTTCGGTTCGTCCCACGTACTTCTTGAATGTTATAGAGAGATGCACTCAACTTTTCGTAGCGTATGCGGTCGATGCGTACGGAATAACTTCGACATTTCCAATTGGCTCCCTATCCTGACCTTCTCAAATACTACTCCAGGTTGCGGTTGAAGACTTGGGATGGCATGACTCCCCGAGTGGTGAGTGCGTCCCCGGTCTTCCTTGAATCTTACTCATCCTCTACCAGTGGTTCGTTTCGGTGCACACATCTGCGTCTGCCGTCGCGGACCTCCTCATCACATGGGTCCTGATCTACACGCTGCGACAAAACCAAAAACGCGGTATGCAGCGGTACGCCTCTGCGAGCCTCCTTGTACCGCCATGTATCCTAAGTCGGTTGCAGGACTAACGACATGATCAACGATCTCATACTGTACTCGGTCAGCACCGGTAAGTCTTCTGTATAGACAGTCTTAACGATGGACATTCACCCGAGTTCCAATGTTAGGCCTGGTCACGGGGTGCGTCCAAGAGCGTTTGTCATGTGTGGTACTCTCGAGCTGAACGGATGTGTGCAGGGTGTACAACATTGTGTGTTTCATCCTGGTGAGTGCTTGAAGTTCGTGGGGTATGTTACAAATCAGAAATAAGTTCACACTCTCCTAGTCTCTCGCTCTTCCACAGACGCTGCTATATTGGGCGACCGTGATGGTCGGACTTAAACGTACGTCTTCTGATATCGCTTGACGTCCCTTAGTCCTCCTGACTTTTCGATCGCAGTATATTCAAACTCGCTCCTAGCGGCGTAGGCATCCCTGCTGATACCTTAATGTTCCTCGGGTTCTCACATGCGCCTTCATTCTGAACAGTCTAAACTCTCGCCGCTCTATCTCGGCACGCCATCCCGCGGGTGTCACCGACACGTCTCCCTTCGGCGTCAGCATTCGACCATTGGACTCTATCGAGCTATCGCACTCAACGAAGCATACCTCTCAGGTGCTCACTTGCTTCTCGCTCGATGTTTGGCATGCCCACGACTGACGCTGGTGTCACTGGAAATAGATGGTCACGAGTTGGAACGTGCGATCACTTGCTGGACGCGACGACACTCAGTCGACAAGCGAGGCTGGAGACAATGGAATTGCTGTGAAGATTACCAAGGAGGTCGTTCGCGAGCCGTCAGAGTCGGATCTGAAGCGTACAGAGGATGTCTGAGCTGACGTCCCGGAGGTTCAGATCTCAGAGGTGGAGGCGTTGTGCGTAAGTAATCAGTTGGGGACAGTCAATGTCGTCCTGTATTGGATATGCATATCATATGACATAGTCACTTCCAGTGACAGAGTAGCCAAGATATGTGGTGGAGCATACTACGCTCGCAGTCAACAACGACAAAGGGACCCCGCCTCCCCCCCAACGCGCCCTCACACGCTCCACAGCATGCGAGCAAGGCAAAAGACGAATGTGAACGCGCTTCCTTGAATAGACCTCAATGAGTATTGATGCCGGTCTCGGCGAAACTGATGCTTCCCGAAGTCTGGCCCAAGAATATCCTGCCATTACAAGTCCAATACCGCTGAGGGCATCCTTGCTAGTGATAAGGGGCTATTTCGGTTAAATCCTGCTATGAGAACATGCGGGACCCGGTAACGACTGGTCTGATTATGCCCGCGTCCTGTAAAGCCGCAAACAAATTGAAGAGCATCAGATCCTGCACTTGTGTCAGCATTGGGCGGTCGAATACGGTCGATATCTAGTAGGCGAACCAAAGACTTACACAACCCTTCGCAGCGACAAAGGAGATCGTGACGGGCAGAAACTCGGTCTTCCCCGTGACGGTTGAGTTATACGGAGCCTCACCGACTACAGGCTTCGGTTAATGACGTTCCGGAGGCAAGAAGCTAATACCACTGACTTGGGACCACCATATCGGGAAGCTCGGCATGCACAGCGAGACGGCCAGAGCTGAAGCCAAGAGGGGCGCTAGGAGGGCTAGAGGGGGAGCGCAGGTCAGCGCATCATTGCACTTCTTGCTGAGAGGGAACACACTTGATGTAAGCATTCCTGTACTCGGTGCCCCCGCGACTCTGCGGATACAATAGGATAGAATCTGAGCACGTCGTCGGGTCAGACTTCAGGACCTCGCTTGCGACCCAGTCCCTGAAGATTGTCCTGTTTGCAGCGGCCTGTTCCTTCCTCCCTGCCGGAAGTGCACGTCCGTAGTTCCATCGCGCAAGTGGGGCGGGGTCAATGAAGGGCGCTCGCCCACCATTAGCAGCGCCGAAGTCATTGATGAATGGATCTGCAACAAGGGCGATTTGGTCGAGCGAGATGAGGTCTGCGTAGGTCGTGGTAAGCAGTTGCTGTACGGTGCCCGAGACCGTCGCAGGCTTTGTCTCGTTCCATGTCAAGGAGAAACTGATCTCGGTACGGTTGGTCTCGAGGAATTTCTCGAGCTTCGTGATGAAGGTGTTGAAGGTGCCGGAGACGCTGTTACCTGCTGGCGGGTTTTGCAGGAAACTGGTGCCCCAGAAATCGGTGGGAAAAAGGATCTTCTTTGGGAATTTGGAGAACTACACAAAAGAGAGAACGAGTCGGCGCATGTCGACGCATATCAACATGTCAATCATACATACCGAAGTGCTGTTCTGATACCACCAATGCCCGACTTCAGCCCAGAGTTTTGCGTCACGCGAGAATACACCGCCGGTGTCGAGCTCAGGAGAGAGGGGCATCACATTGTCCAGCGAGACAGCGCCATGCGAAGGCCTGTTGCCGAATACCCCGTTGGCGCCCGCAGGTCCTCTCATAGACCCTCCTGTGTCGCTGCCAATAGTAAAGTCGAGCCACGCGTACGCAGCGATAGCGGTGCCCGAGCCCGTTGAAGAGCTACTCCCATCCTGGTACCCGTCTCCACGCGGGTTGTAGGGTGCATGCAAGTCAACCCAGTCGTCGGTCGCGAGCTCCCCATTGGCGAATTGAGAGGTCTTCGTCTTGCCTATGAGGATCATTCCCCCGTCGAGGAGGCGTTGTACTGCTGGCGCTGTGGCGCTCTTGGGCGGGTAGAATTGCCAGAAGGCGCGGTTTCCGCAGCCCGTATGTAGCCCTTGGACGTCGTAGATGTCTTTGACGGCAAGCCGCTTGCCTGCGAAGGGCTTCTCGACCGTCGGGGTGAAATACAGGCGCGAGGGGACGCCGATTGTCTCGGTTGCTGCTCCAGGGACGCGGGCGGATAGAACCTGAAAACCGCCTTTTGCGTCGGGAATAGTGCCATAGAGGAACGATTGCTGCTCGTCGTTGTATAATCGTAAGGCTGGAGACTCCAAGTCAATCATTGCTGTCATCGATGGGCTCGCCGACCATAAACTAACCTTCGAAAACATTACCCGTGGACGACTCCAAGAAGTACGGTCCGCTAGGAAGGGTCTTGGTCAAGGCGACTCCACCGCGGTATTTGGGGGATAGAAGGACGACGTCGATGCCGAGCTTCTTTTGCGCAGCGGAAAGCGAGACAGAAGGCGAACGCTCCGTGCCATTGAAATCTACAAACACACCTGGACGGCGGAGCGCGTGAGCGAAGGACAGAGCACGAGACGACGGCCTTGTCAGACATTACCAGTCAGGAATGCATTGTTCCAAACGTCATCCATAATCGACCATGTTGCGATCGTGTCCTGTAAAGCGGCCTCATCGAAGCCCGGGTTCGAGGTCGTAATCACAGAGAACGGTATCAACGATCCAGGTGAGCCCGCAGGAAGGGCGACCGTGTCCTGCAGCGCTGAAACCGAGACAGGGGGGAGAAAATACGAGATATTGTTGAGAACCAAGGTCCTACCTTTGTCCTGGATAGACACTTGGGCGGCCGACGTCAACCGCAGAGCAGCTGAGACGATCACAGCTGAGAAACCTAACAGCTGCATCGTCAATCGAACGCCTTCTTGTGGAGGGAGGCGGTATGTTCAAATTTTACGCCCACCAGATATGCGCACTCTTTTATAATGGCTCGCGGACATGGAACCATAAATGATCCGTTCTTTCATCAGTCACTGATGAACGCGGCCAGCTTCCTGGAGCCACGTACGTACAACGAGCCTCCTGTTACATCGATAGATCAGCCACTGACTTTCACGGTTGCGGAACGGGACCTCGCACCGTACGCGTCCACGCGATGGCTTTGCGTTCCTGCCTAAATTTTGGAGAGAGTAGGGAGATACGCAGATAATGGCCGCGGGACGTTGGTTCTGATAAGAACAAGACCCACGAGGCGGCTTTGCTTATCGCCCAGGGCCGTGAACTGGCCGAATATGCCGTTCCCGAAGTTACGGCATTCATTCGATACAGCTTGTAAACCGTATGAGTGTCCTTATGAGCCAGGTCCTGGCATGACGCGTGCGGTAATTTCCACAAGCCAACGCAGGTCCGACTGTATCACTACTGCAGCACACGCGTGTCTTGCAGCTTCCGCACGAAATCAGCTCCATGCCCGTTAGTCTAGTCGTCGTATCTGCAGTATATATCCTATAGAAAATTAACAGTCAGCTCATGCAGATACTGCGAGCAATGCTCATCGAAGTTCGTCCCACATTTTTGTCGCAGTTGAGTCTGAGAGGTGTCCCTTCGTACAACTCCTACCATTGGAGGATGACGATATCGTACGCACTCACCCTATCCCCATCAGCACAGACGGATGAATTTCGGAGACCATCCGTCTGAACCTAAATCAACTGTGGGGTAAGGGCATTGTTCCTCGAGCTGTGCAGACTGGCTACAGTGAAAGAGAGTGTCAGAAGTTGGCGCCTCCTTCTACCACCAGTCCAACTCACTGGGAGTGGATTCTTATCTATATCCTACGCTGACCTATTGCGATCGTTTCCCTCATGCAGACATCTTGTACACCAAGTGGTCCACAGGAGATGTGCATGCAATCCAGCGAGGGCAATTGGCGCGATACCAACTGATGCTACGATCTGGACAACTTCGGCTCGCCCTTCCAGGGACTGTCCGCACCATCTGTCAGGGAAGTCATTTAGTGGAGAGCCTCATGACGTCGCTGCGAGCACTTACCACTCGTTACACGGTAAGCACATAGGGATGGCATAACGGCATCCGGTATAGTAGGCGGTGTGAGGTCTTGAACCTGTAGTTGAGGGTTTGTATAGAGGAGTGGGAGCTTTGCATCGCACAAAGTTGGCCCACGGAAGTTCCGAAGCATCAAGTGTGAAGCACCATATGCTTCCACATTCCAGAAGATGTTGGAGCAGACGATTGATCAAGCCTGCTCAGCACGCACCCAAGGATCCGTGCGCGTGCATATTTTGGATCACCCAGCCGCACGTGAGACGTAACGCGACGCGCGTTCAGACGCGTCTGTGGCTGCAGCTCTTCGTCCGCCCGCGAACGCTTGGGCGCTCCGTCCTTCCTCTCATTCGACCACCACCTCTCTCCTCTACCTCTCATTTCCCACCCACCCATTGTCCCAAAAATGACTGTAATGGACCAAGCGTTCCTGAAGGGGCTCAGCTGGACTGATCTGAAGGCCGTGGCGAAGGTGAGCCATCCTCAGGACGTTGTGGTTAAGCCGACACCGACGACTACCCCGCAGGAGAACGGCGTCAAGGCAAACCTCAAGAGAGAGACAATGATTGAAGAGTTGTTGAAGGTGCGCAAGCCAAGGCTCTTGGAGCTGTGAGTCCCAGTCTATCGTCGCTGTCGCTGTGGTTGGGCGTCGGATCTTGGAGTACGGAGAGCTCACATGCGACGTGTATCGGCCAGTGCAAAGCAGCGAGGCGATACCCAGGCGATCAAAATCGAGAAGGTGAAGAGGAGGACGGTCGGCGGCGCCGCGACCCCAGGTCGCACTAGAACCGGGGAGGGATCGAGGAAGGTCGCGCAGGCAGTCGAAGCCGGGAGTCCGACGAAGAGCAAGTCAAAGGCAAAGGCCAAGGCAAAGGTGACGGCCACGATCACCGCGGAGGCTTCCGAGGAGCTCCGCCCTCTCGATAAGGCGCGGGCGAGGCTCCGCGCGCAGAGGGCGAACGAAGAGAAGGAGAAGGAGAATAATGTAGCGTCGAACAAGGAAGACGTTGTTGGCCCTAGCGGTCGCCAAGGCATGGAGGCTCTCGGTGGCGTGTCCGTGGAGTCAACGGATCCAGCGACCATCCCCGTCTCTCCAGCCCAAGACACTGCTAAGGAGCTAGAGCCAGTTCGCGAGGATACCGACATGAACGGTGAGTGCCTGTTTATTTGTACGAATGCGTAGGTCGCTCAATGCCGCCGCGCGTCCCATAGCGAACGCCTCGGGGTACCACTTGAGGTCGCAAGCCGGGAGATCCAAGCGAGTATTAGTCCCTATGGGTGAGCCTTGTGAGTACTCTCCAATGAGCTGCAGGCGATCGATGACGCAGAAACCTGACCTCAATGCCAGCAGTTGCCATCAAGACGAAGCGCACCACTCGCGACCAGAGTCGCGCGATCCTCGACGATCGGCGGGTCGGCTTGCTCTCGCCCGACCCGAGTGACCAGAGGCCGGTCTTCAGCCGTCCCACTCCCACGAAGCCCACGGACACTACAGAAAGCTCTTCCATTGGCGGCGCGGACGGCGCGGGAAGGAACGACTTTTCGCGTTCGGGACTTGCACTCGGCAATGGCGACATGCAAGCGTCCGCAGAGAACTCGAAGGAAGACGAAGGTGAAGAGGCAGACCTGGCGGAGGAGGAAGAGGTCTATGAGATGACGTCGATGGATAACATTGTCATTGGGCTGGAGGATGACGATAATTCGGTCAGGTATGACTCAGTTTCACTTCGCATTGACTCCCCACCCACTGATATATGGTTTATATAGGGCCGTCGAAGACAAACAAGCTATTGGCAAGGGCAAGAGGAAGGCCGAGACCGAGGAGTCTCCCGTTACGCTCGTTGAATCGCCTAAGGTTGCGAAGCGCCGCCGAACGAGCTTTGCGCCCTGGCTGTTCACTGCCATGCCTTAGTCGCGCCTTCGGCCATCCCAAACGTAGTACTTGGGTTGCTTTTGATTTCTCTTTGGACTCGGAAGGACTCACCTCTCACACATTGTTTGCACGGCGCCCTTTTACTATACTGTATCGACACTCACTGGCACCGAGCACTCCAAGGATCGGCAGATATATATGGCGTTGACAGCCATTTGACGGTGACGTCTATAGGGTCATCGGAGGCTCTCAGTTTGCGATCGACGACATAGATGTCATATAAACATACCTGCCTTCAGACCAATGTCGAGTCGTTACGAAATGCAACGGAAGATCCGAGGTATTTTTGTTGGGATCGCATTCGGCCTCACGCTGATTATATGCGCCATGACTGACGCCCACGCACGTTCACGTTGCAGGTCAGCAACAGGAGAATACACTGCAGATTCCAACTGGGAGGGACAGTAATGGGTTCATGACAGGTCGTAAATGATGGACTGAATAGGGAGGTAAGTGAAAGTTACACACCAGAGCTTTCCACGACGCACCATTGAAATTGACTTCTCAGCACTTCGCCTCCTGAACGTGGTTTCGATGGTGGTGTTTCCTCCTCCCCACTCCGCAGCATTCACACACCACGACTGACATGAGAATCATTCCCACGAAACTGAGGACAACCCCCGCGAGTACCATCCACAGCCCCGGCCCCCAGTTGAGCGTGTAGTTGAACTCGGTCAGCGGCCCAATCTTGCTCTTCCCGACAAGAATAAGGGCGAGATCAATCCCGAACACGGCCGCCCCGATGAGTACCGTGAGGATGGAGGTAACGAGCGAGATGATGCACATCGCGTGGGACTCGAGGAAGAGCGACGTGACCTCCACAATGAACGCGAGCCCCGCGGCAACAATGTGCAGAATGAGGAGCACAGTGAGCGCGCTCGCGACGTCGTCCACGATAGCGGGAAACCCCGTCAGGTTGGCGATCGCGTTCGGGATGGTATAGCCTAAGCTGGGACCGATGCACTCTGCGTTACCGAGCTGGCTATATGCGCATACACCCCAGACGCCGAACTGCAGGTCGGTCGCGATTGAGGTGACGGGCTGGTCCGGGTTCGTCGCGAACTGGATCTGGAAGATGTAGATGGACTTGATGATCGTGACGGAGAGCCCGACAAGGAGGAAGAGTATGAAAGATGCGAGGAATATGGCGCAAGTCGCGAGCGAGATGCCCAGGTGCCGCGCGAAGGGGCGCGGGCGCCGCCGCCTCTTGGTCCCGTCGCTGCCTCCGCTGCTGCTTCGACCAAGGCAGGGTGTACAAGCCATGGTGTGCTCGTCGTTGACGGAAGAGACGAGGCCGCGACCGTGGGGATGCGGGGGAGAGGCAGGGGAGGTGCGGGGGAGTTTGCCAAGTGGGCAAACTTGAAGAAGCTCAGATGACCTGCGAATCCTCGGCTGTGAAGCTGGAACCGTCGCCGCCGTCTCGGACAGCGACAAACATAGATGCCAGTGACTTCATGCTTGCCCACGTTCTTCAAGTTGGGTGTTGATGTCAAGGTGAACTCGTGCTCGCCGGTACTGGTGGAACTCACATCGCTGACGTCGTCTGAATCTCTGGCTTACGTCCCCGCGCCTCAATGCATATGTCGCCGCCTACAGCCGGTTTCAGCTCGCCTGTCGTGAGAGCGCCGCGCCGCGTCGCGTCTCGCGCATTTGCCCGTTTCCCCCCTCCTAAGCGCCCCCAAGGAAACTTGGGACGACGATACCTCCTCGACTGCTCAACATATTCATCTCTTTCTTGCATATTCTGACTCAGGGATGCGACGCGCAAGGCACGGAATCAAGGTGGCCGCTCGTATATCGGACGTTCCACTCGCCTTCGGTCAATTTCACGCCCTCTTCTGCATCTGTCGCGCATATATCCTTGGACAACCCACGGAGATACCCAGAAGGCTCACTGGAAGCTGTTGGCGGATGTTACGGAGGGCATATGGTGCAGAAGAGGCCGATATGTACGTAATCTATATTCTGCGAAGGGTTCTGGTGCATGTCTAGTATACCACTCTGTCGTATATCGTCAAATCCAACACGTCTTTGCTACGAAACATGTCACATATGTCCACCGTAAGCCTACAAACTCATGCAATTGTGCCGGTTGCCAATTGTAGTGTTCTACAAGCTCTCCTTTGCAGCTCCAATCTACCCACCTCGTCTGTTCGTCAGTGAATGCAATCCCCCCAGCGCGATGCGACGCAAGTCCATATTAGGTAGAAGAATCTTATGTAAGGCGCTTAGCTCAAGAACATCCAGCGCTGCGCGAAGAGGACCCGCCATTCGTGCTCCCTCCCCTCCCTCGCTGCGCTCGGGGGGTCCCCCGAGCCGGGAGCACTCAGGCGGGCACACTAAAGCCTCGTTCGCGCGAAAAAAAACAGACCGGCGACCCCTTGTGGGGGTCAGAAGAAAGACAAGTGGCCAACCCTAACCGCTAACCCAAACCCAAACCCTAACTCCCAACCCGAACCCCAACGAGCCTGCGCGGGATTCGAACTCTCGCACGGAAAAAGAAGAACAACCATCGTTACCACTGCACCAGCAACTTCTGGAGTTCAGACATGGGTGCGGCAATATTACACCGTCTTGGACACACTTACCATACAAGGCAGGTGAGATCAAGCGCCAGCGTCGCATCGCGCTGGGGGGATTGCATTTACTTCTGTTCGTCCCTCCTACTCAACAGTGACTACATGGCCCCCGATGCCTTGCGAGACCACAGATATTATGGAGGTGCAAATTACCCACAAATTCATGGTGTCTGGTGCTCCCCGACGAGGGCTTTGAGCTGGCCCAAGCTGCCACATGAGCCCACCCCATGGTGGACGTGATTGTCGCTGGACACCTCGCCTTTGAACACAGAGCCCTTGGTAGTGTCTTTTCTTCACCATCCCGACTGTTTCCGGAAGAGTACACGATGCCATTCAGCCAACAACGCTGTCTGAGTCCAGTAGGGAGTTGGAAGAGCAGGAATGCCCAGAAGTTGGTGACATCGGGTTGGCGCGACTTCAATCCAATACCGTGCCCTGCGCGTCATGATCCTGAGCCGGAATATGCAAGAATGAGGTGGCTACATTGAGCAGTCGAGGAGATATTGTCGTCCGAAGTTCCTTTGGGGGCGCATAGGAGGGGAAAACAGGCAAATGCGCGAGACGCGGCGCGGCGCTCTCGCGACAAGCGAACTGAAACCGGCTGTAGTGTCGTCCATCGCCTCCAGGTTACGATCCTACCACTGCCATCCGTCGCCAGCGCTCTACAGCTTCGCTTGGTCAAGTCCAGCCGACCGGCGAGTCGCGACACCGCTACAGCCTTCCAAGTCGTCTGGGGCATGCAAAACTGCGGTCAATGTTGGTATGTCATTCCAGCCCACGGAGTAATGCTCACCGGGACGCCCAATCCAGATCCCGTTGAGGTATAGTGCAATCAACTGACCTTCATAATGATGTACGCCCCCGCAACGCCATCGCTCTCGAGCACCGTCTCAAGTCTCTGCTTGACCACGTAGGTCGTCTGCCGCGACGACAGGAAACGGCCCCATGGTCAACTCACTTACGCGCAACGCGGGGCTCAAGCTCGGGCCGATCATCCTCGAGACACTCGTCAAGCACTACTTCGACCGGATTGCGAAGGATCACGAGTCGGAGGAGTCGACGAGGCTGAGGCGGGAAGAGCTGTTGTACGATGAGGCGTTCATCGTTATCAAGGTGCGTCTTCATATCATTCTCGCGATTCCTCGAAGCCATGGTCTATGGGTACCAAAGCACCGCAGCCATGCGTAAAGCCCATTCGCGCATCGTCCGCGAGCAAGGCTTCAGGGAGGCTTGCGTCCGCCAGTACGCGTGCTTCGCATTCCTGACAGAATATCGCGCATATATGATCCCTATTCTGTTCAAGCAAGGAGATAGTCTAGCATGCTAGACTTATGTTTGCCAGAACATGGATATATGCGCTCGATAGTGCGGGGTTTCCAACACCCAAGTAACAGCATTGTCATCGTGAATTGTGGATCGAGAGCTCGCGGGAACGCGTTCGCTCCATCATTCTGAGTTGTATTCCCGTAGAGTTCACGACATACCGGCGCAGAAGCATGCGGTACCACCTTGACATGCGTGTGACTCCTCAGAGGTGTGGCCTTCGAGGGTCGAAAACATTTAACGCGTGCCTCGGAGCACGCGTCGCACGCGTTCACGAGTAGTGTGAGCAAGGACCGAAATAAAGAAACTAATTCTTGATTCCAGTCATTCATGGAAGCCGCGACAAAGTGGGTGGATTTCTCATTCCCTCGAGGTCATCCGCTGAGACCTGTTCAGGCACACGGTAGAAGAATTGCAGGCCTTTTCGAACACGCGCACTCCAAGCCCGCCTTGGGTCCATGCTGTTCGCCTTCTGGTGCCTATGACATGCTGTGACGAAGCTGCGACACATCTGATCAAAGCGCTGGGTGGCGAGGAGGTCACGAAGCGCGTTGTAGGCGGCACAAAGTGGTGGCAGGTGCGCGGGGTCAAAGGGTATGTGCTTGTCCGTTGAATCCGACTATGCAGAGTTCTCAAGTCGCGCTGGGTAGGGTGGATGCAGAGTGGATGGTCGCGAAGAAGGATTATCAGGAAGCCAAGAAAAAGCAGAAAGCGCGTGGGACGAGCGGGCCCGAACCTCCCGAGAACGGTGACGCGAACCAGGAGATGCCTCCACAGTATCAGCCGGAGATGGACGAGATGCGCTGCGTCTTATACGCGCACGGCGGTGAGATGAGGTACTCTAAAATATTGTTCAGCATGCTCACCCTGGATAGGTGGTTACTACTTCGGCAGCCTTGATCAAGAGAGGCTAGTTTCGCTGTGGCTGCCCAGCTTATCTTGTGCTAAGCTCTCTTCATAGATATTCTATTCAGCGGCTTGCTCGAAAGATTAACGGACGCGTATTTGGTAAGCACACTGTGCACGGCATCGCGTATATGCATTTAACACGAGCGCAGCCATCAACTACCGTCTGGCACCCCAATATCCCTTCCCATGCGCAATACAAGATTTCATTGCCGCTTGTGAGTCTGATTGAGCCCCTAGCGAGCCACGAGCGGTCGTCTGAGTTGTTCATTGCAGACCTGTACCTAATCCAACCTCCTCCCGGCGCGCTCCATACCCCCGTTTCTCCTTCGAGCATCGTGTTCGCCGGCGACTCTGCCGGAGGCGGACTGTGCATCGCAGGGCTGCAGGTGATCCGAGATTCCGGTTTGCCCATGCCCGCGGGTGCCGTCCTGATATCACCGTGGTGCGACCTGACTCATTCGTTCCCCAGTATACACTTGAACACCGCTACGGTACGTCGCGCAGGGAGATCAGGTGCTGGACGTATCACCTAAACCACTGGCTCGTATACAGGACATCATCCCTCCGTACGGCCTGTCGTTCCACAAACCGAGCACGCTGTGGCCTCCACCTCCCGATCACGTCACGACGCGAGTGCACCAGGGTCTCCGGGAGCGCGTGCGCGAAGCCGTGCGCCCGAAAGATAAGGGCAAAGAGGACAGCGATGAGGCGAAGCCCCGCGTCCCCTCCTCGGACCCTTTGACGCACCCTGGGGGGCTCCCATCTCGCCCCCAGACGCCAGACTACACGCTTGACGACCCGTCCACGGGACGCAAGCTGCACCTGGGCGCAGCGCAGTCCCTTCCGACCGCCGTCACCCCGGACAGCGTGCGGAGCCAGAAGGTGGAGATGACAACGGCGAAGGGCGAGAAGCTCGCTATCGATGGGCAGGTGCACATGTACACGCCGAACTATTTGTTGACGCATCCGTTGGTGAGCCCGGTTGTAAGCTACCTCGGCGGGCTGCCGCCTTTGCTCGTCAGTGCGGGGGATAAGGAGGTGCTGAGAGATGAGATCATCTACTTGTAAGTATAAAAAGTTTTGTGTCTTCATTGTAAAGGCGGTTGACGGGACTGTACACGCAGCGCGCACAAGGCTGCGCATCCGGAGAAGTATCCTGTGAAGCCCGAGTCGAAGTTGCTGTACCCCGCACTAGAGGGGATCGAGCAGCGATACGGGCCGACTAAAGTTCACCTGCAAGTCTACGACGGTACGTGCCTCCAATGGCCAAGCGATCTCTACGTCTCACCTCCAAGGAGCAGATTGCGCGCATACGCTTCCGATCTTGTTCGCTTTTACAACCCCGGGCAAGTATTGCTTCCGTGCAATGGCCACATTCATCAAGTACGTAACAGGCATGCTCCCAAAGCCGAGCACGGAGGTGCCCATGGTCCTGGGTAACGAGAACGGAATGACCCTATCACCTGAAAGCACGCAGATGAACCTCCTCAGATCTGCTTCCACGAACCATGCCAACCAGGAACAAGCCTCGCTCAGCGGACCCTCTCACCTACCAACTGCCCGGTCTGAGCCTCTGGTGGCTGATAATATCGCTAGTACAACGAGCTCTCCCTTACTTGCGAACAGCGTCGGCGCCTTGCAATCCGGCCCTTCCGGAGCTCCTGTTGCGCCAGAGCGCAGAAAGTCGAAACGTCGCGCGTTCAGCACCAGCGTGTCGCGTGCAAGTAGCTTCCTGCGCCGTCGACACGCGACTTCGGAAGTCGAGGTTCCCCCTATTCCAAGCAGCCCCCGTAGCCCACCTCATGGGCACAGTTCATCACAGTCATCAGATGTCGGTGGCCCGCGATGGCAGTTCCACAGGTCCAGCGCCGACCCTTTACAGCACTATGCCGGCGAGGTGGACGTATATGACAACGGTCTGGTAAGTTCTCCGTTCCATCCCTGCTGCTGAGGCGTTTCCAAGCCTCAGCTGAACTTCCATTCACTATCGACACAGGATACAATGATCCGCGAACGCATCTCGACGCGAGGCGTCATTCGCCCGCTCGAGCCCGAGTCTGAGCTGAGCGCCTTCCGTCTGCCCTCCGAACTCATTGGCGAGATCTCGGAGCTTGCCGTGCGACGGTATATGGACGGGACGATCAAGTTTGGGAAGAAATTCAAGAAGGCGACGACGGCGATCGAGAAAGCGCGCACCCGTAACTTGGAGCGCGCGCGGCAGGACACGATGAGGAATATGGTGCAGCTCCAAGCGTTCCTTCAGAGCGACAAAGAACAGGAGGGGACTGACGCTGGGGAGAAAGAGAAGGGTGTAGTGGGCGGACAGGCCGTGCAGGGCTTGGTGGCGTCAGGTAGCTGGCAGTGGGCGTGGGCGTTGGACATGGACGAGAACCCACCGCCGAGCAGCATCGTATCGAGACGGGATACCGAGGAGGCGAGACGGCTGGCGAAGATTGCGGACCATGCGGTGCTCACGGAGGACCATACACTGAGCGGGAACAACCTCTGGCAGTTGATCGTCAACTTCCTCACAACCACCCCTGATCGCGACCAACACAAGCACCATAAGCGCCATGACCACAAGCACGAGCGTGAGGAGAAGCAGGATACGACGGCTACTAACCCAGATAGGCCCGTGGACGTCGAAGGTACTGCTCAGGCGAAGCCTGGAGAGAAAGCCGAGAGCACGTCGAGGCGGGAGAAGATCGTGTCCAAGTTCGCGTGGCTGGCGGCTGAGAACAGGAAGTCGCAACGCGCGGCTGCGAATGGTCATGGCGAGCAGTAACTTTGGCTTGTCCTGCAGACTTTTTCTGGCTAATCACTAGATGGATGATGTTCGTACTTTCGTCTTTCACTTCTGAACCTCCTTGTTGCATTCTTACTGTCTCGCTGTAAGTCTTCTTCCTTTGATTTGATCCGCCTCTCGACCAACGCTGAACAAAATCCCCGGGCTAGGCCCGATGTAACCGTAAATAGTATGGTATCGACCCCCGTACTGTGCAGGATTTGAAAAAAGTCAGGAATAATATCGCGTTATATGTCCTCGATGTCTCACAAAGAATCTGTCGAGGAACCCAGCACTTCGGGAACCCGAAACTTGTTGAACTTGGCGACATTTGACTAGATTTGCATGGCAGCTCCAATGGTTAGACCTGCTATGCTCTCCTCTCAGATCCTAGCCTGTGTTCCCTCCAGCTCTGCACAATATCCCGATTGAGATATCTCGTCATCTACATGATGAGTTGCTTTCTGGACCCGCCCTCTCGGAACTTCGTGGGCTCGATGTAACGCATTTCACAATCACAGCGTAAGCCTAGCGGGCTCTGCACAATCAATTGGAGGATACAGCTGCAACGGAGTTTGCTGGATACGATTGAACAATACCAGAACCTGCAAGAATTGCAGAAGGGACAAACTAACGAAAACATGAAAGAAATGCATCAAGCCTAGTCTATCAGGCCGCTGAGGGTATCGGCAACACGGGTATGTACTGATAGGACGACAACGTACTGTAATGGAAGGCGACGACTCGAATATATTCCGAGAGATCGTTGGGACTATGTAGCATCAAGTTGCCATCAACCAAGAGCGGCATAACACCATCAGGATTGCTACATAAATCAATGACGTAGCTCCACGAGGGCGAATGAAGCGGATTGAAGCGACAGGCAGCGCGGAAGGAGAGGGTGATGCAAGGGAATGGGGGAGCATGATACCCTGAGAAGCGAGCTAGCGAAGGAGGCGGCGAGGTGGACGGCATAGCGACTTGGCTGGAGGGGGAATCATGGAGATTGCGGTCTGCACCGTTGAAGGCGGTGTATCGTTGCCAGAACTGTGTTGAAGTTCGAACCCGAGAGCGAGGAACCAGGACGACATGAGCGACTACGTCCTTCTGCGCTTGCTGGGGCGCGGATTTCCGCCGGGTATGTTTTCCATGCTTCGCCGCTTCCGACTCAGGCTCGAGCCGGTCCGTGTCGTGTCCGACGGCACCGCCCTCTTGGGCGGCGCGTGACCTCCTGGAGCTTCTTGTCGGGGCCTTTGTCGTTCGCCGGCCATGCCAGCTCCCGTAACGCATGATAGAAGAGGGACACGATCGCTTTGTGCGTCTTGAGTTTCTCCATGAGCGCCTCGTTCTGTGCTCGTTCGGCAGGGATGGACTGCAGGGAGCGCCCACGCGCAGAGGATGCACGACTGGGCTCCGTATCCGAGGTATAGTACGCCCGGAACCACGTTAACAGCTTGGTGATGATCGTGTTGATAGGATGGTCATACTGCATCTCCTCCTCCGGAGAGGGCGGTCGATCCCTCAGTTCTGGAGGGGGCGAAGACTGAGCCGGAGCTGGCCAGTGGAAACTCAGTATCCTCCCTTTCGGGTCCCGACCGCCATTGTACGTTCGGATGTCAATGGCCCCACGAGCGATAGAAAAATACTTCTCCAGAGGGCACGAATACCCGTTACCATTGAAGTAGCCGTCCAGGAAGTTTTGGACGTTGTCGTCCCTGAGATTATGAGGGAGGAAGCGGACGGCGAAGTAGAGCAGGACGTGGAAGAAAGACTCGAGTTCATCTTGAATTACGATCCTACGATTTGGATTGGTGAGGGCACGCGCAAACATGTATTGCCAGGTGCCCTACGTCATGCAGCATCGACAGTCAATCCAGAATGTCATTGCATTGTGAATGAAAATACTCACGACGCAATCTGTTTGGCGATCGTCGTCGATCCTCTTTGACAGCTCCCAGTCGTTGAGTAGTCCGTGCCACTTGCCGTCATCATCCTTGTATATCAATATGTTGCCTGCACTGACGTCACGATGTATGATACCAGCCTCGAAGGCTCTAGCGTGGGCTACAGGCGAGGGGGTCAATCATTCCGCCATTTTGCAATCAGCACCGCTCACCTAGGAGACAACACGCCAAATAACAGCACAGATTGAAGGAGTTGTCCTGAAAATTCTTCGAGAGGGAGCCCGACCTCCTTCATGACCAGCCGGTAGTGAGAATGTCGCTCCAGGTTGAATGTGTTCCTAGGGCGAAACGCCAGCCAGTGATCCTGCGACTCCGTAAACTGGCCGAGGTCGCCGTGGCACACCAACGTCGGCACGTGCTTCACCTTGTGATCGTTGAGGAACTCCAGCGTTGCCCCCTCCTGCTCGACGTCGGCGTCGTCAATACGCCACGCATCCTTCAGAAAGACGAACTTGGCGTCCTTGGCGATCTTGTCGTTGCTGACAAGAGGCAGTGCGACGTAACCGCGCGTGAAGCGTCCAGCGACGCCCGAAGCTTGGAAATGCGGCTTCCCGACCAGAAACTTGCGGGTGAGAGGTCGGAAGTTGTGATGCTTTCTCTTCGTGACGTTGCCACGGACTTCGAGCTTCCACCACGGCCACCCTTTGTCGAGGGATCTCGCGAAGAGCTCACGAACGTAATCGTGCGTATCCTGAGGATCCGCGCGTGCGGCACGGTCCTGCATAGAGTCGTAGAGGAAGCTGCCCCGGGAGACACGTGTGGCCGTGGGGTTGTGGCCGCGCTCGGCGGCGGACAGATGCGAGTATCCGTGCAGAAAGTCGACGAGAATGTTGCCACGGTTCTTGAAGTTGAGCCTGTGAGTCGCAAAAACGCCAGAATGGTCGAAGCGCACAATGCGGACGAAGTCGCCGAGGAAAAGCACCATGAACAAGAACATGTGCTGCTGGCGCTTGAAGACGAGTTCAGCGTATAAGAGGATCTGGTCGAGCGCGTCCTTCCTCCTATATGCAGTCGGCTCCCCACTTGGCTCATCATCGTCGGACGGGTCCTGCTCCATGCTATCAGCCTTGCACTCCATCGGAAGGTCGATGTTGAACCAGTCCACGGCGGCATAACTCGCGTTGCCATGGGGCGTTGGGGTACTATCGGCCGGGTACATACCCATCCCGACGGATTGTTTGGTGTGTTCTGCTTCGTGGGACTTGGGTGGATGAGCGACGATCTTGAAGCTGGGGGAAATGGTGGCTTGAACTAATCCCACAGGCTATATCCACCACAGGACATCGCTTGGAATCGAAGATTTACAACAAAGACTTTACTCACCAGCGACTCGTACATGTTGGTCCTCAAGGAAGGCGCATTCAAGGCATCTAAGATGTGCGACCACACTGCTGGCCTGGGTGTCTTCATCGAAGAAAGAAAGTGGGCGAAGAACTCGACATGTGGGACGAGGGTGATCTTGCCGTGCATGTTGGAAGTGAAGATTGCTGCGGTTAGTGCCGAGTTTTCTGTACTCTCGTGTCGTTCGACCTTTGTCTGAATAACCTACAAGAGGAACGAGAAGTATCAGCGACCTCAAAGTATCTCCGTATGGCATGGTATTAGAGAATGATTATTTATGGAAGGATTCTGGCGTGATGAGAAGTAGTAGGTGGTGGATTGAACGATGGAAAAGCACGCCGGGGTCGTATGAAGCGGTAGATTGATGGAAGGAGGGCCGCGAATGAGAGAAGCGGAGAAGGGAGGGGCTGAAACATACCAGTGAAAGTTACGTTATTCAGAAATGGTTTCTGACGAAGCTCGCGACGCACAGTAAGGAGCACAATGGGGTGGTGGTTGAGTAGAACGAGTTAACATGAATAAGCGCTGAGTGCACTCGCCGTGTCATGAGTTGGCGGCCCACGGCCGGCGGAGTCTTGATGATCCTGATTGCGATAACGATGCTTTCTGTGCACAAAGCGTGTATCCAGAACATTGCCCAAAACTATGCGGATCACGATCACCAACTGCTTAAAAGTGGCAGGCTGGAGCTTCGGATCGCGAAAAAAAAACTGAAGACGAAGGGTCCAATGAAGACAGTCACTAAGGGCGAGGAGCACAATGTTTTCAGTAAGGTTGAGAAGAGGGAAAAATCAGCTCATCACTTGCCCCACGAGCGCACAAGGTGCGAGAGTGGGTAGGAGAGAACATGGCGGCTGTGTTGTCGCTCGCTGAATTCAAGCATTAGAGTGAACAGAGACACAGTTGCTGTGGTTTAAGCGTGCTATCAGTTTCGTCATATATCAGGGCGAAGCTGAGATCAACAAACTCAGAGAGGACGCGAGCGTACCACGACACGTCCGCTGCTGCGGGCGCATGTGAGCGCGCGCGCGCGTCCACCCCTCCACTGATCGCAGGGGGAAGGGCTGCGTATCTCAACCGCATAGCCTTTTTCGAAAGTCGAGCACCCAGCAAGGTCACGCTCGGATGGAGGTGTGGACACTGGATGAGACGACAACACCCAGGGCGAGGTAAAGATTGAAGCGTCTCACTGGGCCGATGATACGTGGCGGTGCAGCGCAGCATGCGACGACTCGGACTAGAGGAGAACACACTACTGAGAGTAAAATGCGCTGATACGTGACGACAACAACGGCCGTTAAAGGCGCTTCAAGGGAACACGCATCAGAGGTATGCGACCATGACAAGATAGCTCTTGTGGTTTTCTTGCTACCAATTTAAGCCAAGAGAAGAGCCCGGAATGCCCAAGATAACCGCCGCTCCGACGAATAGGCACGGACAGATAATACATATAATAGAATGACGCCTCAAGCAACGAGATGTCCTACGTATGCAATACAAATAGACCTTGGTGAGCGACACAAATAAATGAAGACCGCTTCGGGTGGAACAGAGCTCTAATACCCCACATTGCCAATCCGCGGGCGGGGCAAAGCGCGAAGGTCCAAGAGAGGGAACTTCTGCACCAGGCAACGCGTCAATAGCGATTCTTGGGTCGCAAAGAAATGCACAAATATCAATGGGTTGCATAGGTCAATGATTCCTAATATATTTCCTCGGTTGAACCGTAGCTCTTTGCCCGTCGTTTGTTGAAGACTAAGCGAGAAATTCGTAATAGTGATTCGCAGTCGGATTGTCTTTTAAGACAAACAGGTCGCGAGACAAAGACAAAGCCTTTTTGTATACCGTCCGACACCAAACGAAACGCGGGGTATGTTGCCTACCATAAAAGGGCACGCTCCCGGACCCAACCACGCTCACCTTTCCTCATTACAACCTGGCTAAGGCGGCGGTGAGCATCGCTCGCCCCTCCGTTCTCTCCCTTTGGTTACTCGTAGCTCCTCTAATTCATGTCCACAACCCCATTCGACAAGACAGTCCTCCACACTATGAAGCGGGGAGAGCTTCAGAAGCTATCGTCAGTCACCCAAAACCCCTATCCAACATGGCCACCACTGCATTCGACAAGACAGCACTCCAGACTATGAAGCGCGGTGCGCTTCACAAGCTCGCCAAAGTAAGTTTCACATGATTAAGTCGGCCGTACCTCGTCTGACCCTAAGTCTGGTCAACAATGTATAGGAGAGTGGAGTGCGTGCCGTTGGTACAAATCATGAGATCATAGATAGACTTCTCTCCCTGCAAGCAACCACAAGGTACGAGTTTTCACGATGCAGAGTTGTGGCTCTCGGACAGAGTCACGCCGAGTACCGATACTTAGGAATTGCTACTGCCTTTCCAGTAGCGATCGCATTGGAGCTCCAGACGAACGACATGTCCTCGTCGACGTCAAGAACAAGGCAGACAGCGAGGATGTGCCTCAGAAGGCGATCGGTGAGTGGACGACAACCACATGGTCGTACTCCCCGGGCCCTCATACGAGCTCTATCACTTGCAGCCGGGCTTCGGCGTTCTAAACGCAACAGGATAGCTGTGATTCCTAGCAAAGACACTGCGATCAGGCGACGACAAGCAACGCAGGGAAGGGACACCTTCAACGATGCGGAAAAATCTGGTATTGAGGAGTCACCACGGCGGAAATACTTCCTCGCGGTCCTAGCACACCTGGAGGCGGCGCAGACACTAGCGGTGCTGCACGATCATGCAAGGAACAGGAGCGAGAGGTGAGTGGCTATATCATACCCATGTTGTCAGTTCTTACTGAGTAGTAAGTGCTCCAAGTCACGGCGTCTCCGAGCGTAAGACGGGAGGGAAACGCAAGGCATCGGAGGCAGAGCCGGACTCGTCGCAACCTCGGCCTCGTAAACGTGCGAGGGCGTCCAAAGCCGTGGAGACGAGTGAGAGATGCGATGACGGCTGCCGCACCATGCCTGCCCGGAACGGAAGAATCCCAGAGGGAAGGAGGTTGCAGCTACATAGTACCAATTGAGAAGCTCCCGGTCGGGCAGTGGCGGCCCGGGAACAATGCAGAGAGACACCATGCGCGCTTCCTGAACTGAGCTTCCCTCCCGCCACCATCATGCCAGCAAGCGCTCTCTCACTCCAGTGCTCTTTCATGCTTGTCCCATCGACAACCCCATCTGTCTTTATCGATATTTTAACAAACCGCCTATTGTACTTTAGCTGTACCCATTTAACATCGTCAGCATCTCATCGTCTGTCGTGTGCTTCCCCTCTCTCCATACCCGGCGTTGACAGATCGTGCCCTGTCCTCATCGAGACCATCTGCGGTGAAGGAAGCGAATGTCGACGCGCGCGGCAGAAAGCTAGTCCTAGTCACATACCAAGATCGTTCTATTAACGGGTTACGAGCCGACTACGGTGGATCTAAGATACTCAGTGCCTCAGTAGGGAGAAGAACTGATGTATTGCATATCTAGGTACCTAAGGTACTCTACATAGTGGGCATAGTCAGTGCATATGGCATACGGTGTAAACTACAGCAGAAACTCACCAGTGCCTGAGGCACTGGTCGACACGAGCGTCGGTATAAGTGAGCAACGGAGAGCGCCCGCGATTGATGGTGGAGGAGCGATACTAGTGTGACCCCAGAAGCTACGGATTAAGCGCCTGACCCCAGAAGCTACTGACACGCCTCCAGTTCTCGCATTTCCCTGTCAAAAAGTGTGCACGGGTTACACGCGAGAAGACGTACTTCAAAAATATCATTGTAAAAAACAAAGAAGGAAATCGGAAGGGATTTGCTCCCGATACAAGTCAATCTCAGTAGGGTTTCAAGGGTTTACTGACCTTGGTGAGCTGCCACAAAAAGATCTGCAGCGCCGATCTTTCTGTAACTTCGCAAAGTGTTCTGAACATTCTCAATAAACTTTCTTGTTCAGTCTCCGAAGGGTTCCGGGTTGCAGTATTCGAAAGATAGGAAGAGGTCTCTCGAGCGTGACATTCAGCCACTGACCGAGATAAAGCTGACTTTCAATCTGAGCGCTTCGACAATGTTGCCCCGGCCAACTTCGCTATCAAACGACTGATAACAGCGGTGTTTGAATCGGCAGTCTTCGGCATTGTGACCATCCATGACAATCTATGGGTCGC